TGTTGGGACAGCCCCATGGTTGTCATGGTGGCCATGAAGCCCTGAGCCGCCCCAGAGCCAGCAGCCTCGGCATGGATGTTGAAGTCTGAGAGTCCTCAACACTGTCTCTGAGACCAGCTCTATCAGTTCAGGTAGGGAGACTGCTGGGCAGAGAGGCAGGCGGTAAACCAGTGGAATCCCTAATCTGTTCTGATTGCCCAACGCCCGGAACACACACTCTGGTTTCCTCCCAACTGGACAGAGAGCCTGGAGATAGAGAATCTCTACAGTTCACAGCAACTGCCCCTCCCTGACCCTTGAGTCTGGCATGGTGCTGCACTGAGTACCCAGGTGGGTACAGCTGGGTGAGACCAACTCCACCCTGTTCACCCAGCCAGGTTTCACTGATACATGCCATATCAGCCAGATGATGGATGAGTTAAATTTTTTCCTGGGATGACCTGGCATTTAACAGCAGCAGTCACAGACCTGAGGCTGGCTGATATGACAACTGCAATTCCGTATAATAGAGTAGCTGGCATATGGCACAGTCACTAACTGCCTGGGCCATGTGGTCCTTACCCGGTCTGCGTCTCTTCCCACACCATACCTCCCCCTACCCGGAACCACTGCAATTCGGGCTCCCCCGGCTCTTCCCCACTCCTCTCCTGCCAGGCACATCCCACCCAATACCCTTACAACTCGGTTAAAAACAATGAATTATGTTGGCCCCTGTTTATTAGTTACAACATATAGAGCGCAACAGGCTGAATAGTAATGTTTGTAACAAATTTCTTTACTGGTTACTTCCTAACATAGGAATCAAGTCCAGGATGTACACCATATACAATCCTTAAGCAAGGTATATAACCTATTTAATTAAATCCAATGCAGATCTATTTCTTCCTTTCTTAATCCATTCTTGTTTGAGTTCATATATTACACAGTCCTCGAATGTGGTTAAGGAAAGGTCCCCAGAATGTCATGGACAATACAGCTGATGAGGTTGGCTAGCATAGGTAGCAGACACAGGCAGGCTGCCTCAGGCAGCTGGGTTGAGTAGAACAAGGTTTCCGGATATTTCCTTGTTTTGCCCCAAAGGGCTTCCTCAGCTGTTAATAGTTCTATATAATATAAATATAAACACCTGGTAATACAATGATTAATATTTGACATGTAGAAATTACAAATATAAATCTGTTACATCCTGACTAAAAAATAGAATTCACACATTATTAAGCATTATCAAGCATTAGAAGATACAGAGGTTGTACATGAAATCAAAGTGTGTAACAGATTACGTAAGCAATGATTCTTGGACGATTCTCAATAGTAATGGCCAATGAGTCTCAATACACCATTAATAAGCAAAACCATGTGATGAGACAGGTGTAGATAATTAACCTAAATGTAATCTTAAAGGAATATGACCACAATGGTGTGTCATAGGCAGAGCTCTTATATAGTATATATTTTATATAGCTTGTATGGGATATGTCATTATAAGAAGCAGGTATAGTCCAATTCAATATTTAAACCTAAAGGATGAAGTGCTGAGTAAGAAAACAAATCTGCTTTCCTTCTGTGTAAGGACTCTTCCTGCATTTTCAAGAGGTCCTTGATAGGTCCAAAGTACAAAAAATGTCAGGACATCCTCAGTGTGTGATTTTTGGATGAAATTGGATACCAGAGGAGCATCCAAAATTCTATTTCTGATCCTAGAATGATGTTCCGATATCCTGGATTGGTCTTGTGGTTTGTCCCACATATAATAAACCACATTTGCATTATATATATACTTTACACGGGAAGACACCCGAGGACACCAAAACCTGCATTCCTGTACCCGTGAAAATCTACGAAAGCATATATATATATATATATATATATATATATATATATATATATACAGTGCATGCAGTAGCACATGTGGCAAATGATCGTATGGTGAATTTAAAACCCTCACTGTTGGCGAACTCTTTTACTGGAAGTGCATATCTGCATGCAACGCAGTGTCCGCACTTGAAAAAACCTCTCGGGGCTGTTATTAAAGTCTGTTGTTGTGGTATGGGTTTTAGATCAGTGTGTACCAGTATATCTCAAAGGGATCTAGTGCGTCGTTTCCCGAAGAGTGGAGTGACCTCGCAACCAGGAATCTCTTTTAAGATATGCCAATGGCGTTTCACTATTCTCTCAATGTCTCTCATCGTGTTATTAAATTCTAAGGAAGAATGAATTCTCTTGGTGTTCTCATGAATGTCAGTCCAGGTTTTTGAAACTGTGGATCTATCCTTAGTTTTAGTTCTCTGTATGGCTGCGGACACCACCGTACGTGGGTAACCACGTTCTATAAGTGCGGTGACCAACTTGTAGGAAGTAACCAGTAAAGAAATTTGTTACAAACATTACCATTCAGCCTGTTGCGCTCTATATGTTGTAACTATTGCATCTGCGTAACAAGGTATTGTATTTGTTTTGGCCCCTGTTTATTAGCCTAGCTCACCTTGCAGGTGATGTAACATCCTCATACCATCCCAATAATGGCTTCTGAAACAGGAGAGATAATATGCCAGCCATCACATAGCCACTCGGGCTCTCAGGTATATAAATCTTCCTGATGGAATCTAATGTTTTGGGCTTCAGTGTAGGTCCTGACTTGGAGAGGGCTGTGTACTAGCCAGCTTTAGTCTCTCTGTTCACATTCCTTGCTCTCAATAACTGAATGGGAAAGTATTTTATCTTGTTTGTGCTCTGTTATTATGCTTTAAGACTGTTTCACTGCCTTTTATTCTGTATTCAAGCTTGCTACTTAATAAAAGCACAGAACTACTCTCCACTAGTGTTATCGCCCCTGAATCCGAAAGAACTATTGCGTTTGGCAAAACAGCGAATGGCCGTGTATTCACAGGCTTCATCCTGCAGACTAGATGCCAGTTCACTGCTTCAAGAAATACTTCTCATTTGCATATCTGTTCTTGAGTTATGATGCAGATTATATCAATCATGCTGTCAAGCTAAAAGATGCCCTCTATTAAGCCCTTGTGACAAGGGAACCATTACTTGAAATGGAAAGGCAATAAAAACTTCAACGCGCTGATATGAGGCTGATCTACTTTGTAATAATGTTTTGAGCAGAACTCCATTCATCAAGGGTTCTGGCTGAGATTGGGTTGTTTTCTAAATAGTAATTCTAAGTCGTTTTAGACTTAGAACCCAAAATCTGCATGAAGGTGTTAAAAAAAGAGATTTTATGTGACGGAAGCTAGATACAAGTCGGAAACAGGAAACCAGTACTGAAAGTCAGCTTTCGTAGTACATGTCCAAATAAGGATGTTGGTGTGTTCCAGTTAACCCATTGTTGAATGACTTAGAAACAACTGCTTGTGAGCACAAAATAAAGTCATATTTGTACAAGTGAAAAACATTTTATCAAATACAGAGATGAGCAAAACCATTGTGTTATGTTCTCAAAAGTGTTGACACAGGGTAGAATGTTTTTACCCCTTTTCCTACCAATGTCCAAATTGACTGAATGTTATACAAGAGGTGATATCACACTGAGCATGTTTAAAGAGGCCCAGCCCCAGTGTTAGAAACTGAGATATGAAAGCTAGGAGCTAAAAGGCACCTTAAACCTAGGTTATGAGTGCAACAATGGAATGTCAAGACATGCTTTTTTTTACCCTGTCAATTTTTGGGAATGCTAAACTTTCATACGTTTCCCCTTGAAACCAGCTTTGATGTGAATTGAGCAAATGAACAGTTCAGCTGCATTTTAAGGCAGTAATGTGTACACAGCCTATATTTGAGTCTTGTATGTATGTCCTCTACCTTGCACCACACATCTGTTCTAGGGGATTGGGTTCTAGTGGTTGGCCTCCCGAAGGCATTAATTGTCTCAATTAAAGCATTTGAAATTTCATTTTGTGGATGTACAGATTTTTTTTTAAAAAAAGGATAGTCATAGAAGACCACATTGTGAGTACACAGCAATTACAATGTTTGGGTTATAGAAAGCCTTTTAATTAGGAACATCGCCCAGATATGACATCGTTCCAATTTGCCTTGCACAACCATTATACATAAAGTATTGCATATGTACACAAAAGGCTTTCAGTGCTAATGTGCTAGCTAATTAGGTAATGGATCTAATGAGCATTTGCACAGAAACAGCAGCAGAACTGTGGTGGTTTGTTATCACACTTGACTGTGGACATTAATATTAGGAAAGGATGATCCAACTGTAAAATAGTGCTATATAAACTGTCTTTTCAAAAAACAGTTTATCAACTACTAAGGGTGTTCCCTGGAGTACAAGATTTGGTTCACACAATTCAGCACTTTATAAAATAGCCACTTCAGAGGCAGCCTAACTGGTCTCCTTCATTCCTCTCAACACTTTTACTATTAGGGATTTTTAAATTTATTTTTCTACTTTAACTTTTTTCCTATTGATGGAAGTGGGTGAAATTTTCAGGCACAGTAGCCCCTTCAGAGTGGATGAAGCCTGCCCAATCATAGGCATTTTTGTGTTGGACACTTCTAAAATGTGATTATTATTGTTCCATAAAGGGAAAAGTGTGATGCACCAGAAATAAAAGAAAAAGAAAGCTAATGCTATTTTAGGCTGCGTCAACAGATGCATAGTGTCCATATCAAGGGAAGGAATAGTCCCACTCTATTCTGCCTTGGTCAGACCACACCTGGAGTACTGTGCCCAGTTCTGGGCATCACAATTTAAGAAGGATATTGACAAGTTGGAACGTGTGCAGAGGAAGGTGACCAAGATCATAGAATTGTAGAGTTGGAAGAGACTCTGAGGGTAAATTAGTCCAACCCCCTGCAATGCAGGAATCTCAGCGAAAGCATCCATGACAGATGACCATCCAACCTCTGCTTAAAAACCTCCAAGGGAGGAGAGTCAACAACCATTCAAGGAAGATGATCAAGGAAACCAAACCTTATGAGGAATGGTTGAGAGAGTTGGGGACGTTTAGCCTGGAGAAGAGAAAACTGAGAAGTGATATGATAGCCATCTTCAAATATCTGAAGGGCTGGTGGATGGTGGAACAAACTTGTTTTCTGCTGTTCTAATGGTTGGGACACGAACCAATGGATTTATAATTCCAAGGAAGTAGATTCTGATTAAACTTTTATAGGAAGTTTCTGGCAGTAAGAGCTGCCTGACAGTGGAATGGACTACAGTAGAAGGTGATGGACTCACTTTCAGTGGAGATTTCTAAACAGAGTTTGGGTGGCCATCTGTCAGGGGTTCTTCAGATCTGATTCCTGTATTGCAGGGGGTTGGACCTGCAACCCAAGTGAGAAGGGTAAGGTAGTAAGTGATTGGGGAAATCACTCTGTCGGAAACCCTGGGAAACTGCCATTCAAGAAGCAACTATACTAGATGTGCAAATAATATGACCTGGTATAAGGCAGTTTCCTTTGTTGTCAACAAGGAAACATAAATACCAAAAACGGAAGGTCCTTTTCCTTTGCTGAGTAAATAGTAAGCAAATGCACTTTCCACAAAACTCTGGTTCTTCTGAGTGAATGAATATATGATGCCCATTTTCAAGAAAGGTGGCCATCAGGGTCACATACAAGAGACAAATGACCCAAGCCAGAGTATGACTGGACCTTGAATTCCATTGAAATGAATGGGACAAGTTAGCTATGATGAAGATGTCCCCTGATGCCAACAGCCATGCAACTTTGAGTGCAAGTCTATACATGTCTGCTCAGAAGCCTCACTGAATCCGATGGGACTATTTCCCATGTAAATCTGCATACGACTGCAGCGTTTCTCTGGACACAGTTTAAGCAAGCTATGTCTGTGTGATATTGGACTGGATCTTCCCTATTATCTCTTCCCCGCTCTGTAGCATATAATTCATTTTAAATCTCACAGGCTTCCGATTCAGCAGCAGCTAGCTGCACTTAGAAACAAATTTGTCTGTCTGATAGCTGAAAAATAAGCCTTAATTAGATAGCAATATATGTTCCCATGGGGCTGTTACAGAAACACTCCTGATGACATCGCAGCAGGAGCATTATTTCATCAGTACTGCTTACTTGCTTTGGTAAACATCCGATCAAAGAGTGAAATGACTGATGGGAAGCTTATATTGCTCTCTGTTCTTTTTCAGAAAGGGGATGTGGGAATTTGAAAATGTAGACGTTTTGCCTGTGTAGTGCCAATCTGCAGCACGCCATGAATGATTGGTTACATTTTAGTACTGGACCACACTCTTGGTGTGGGGCTTAATCCTGCTTCCTGTTCTAAACGAGCCTAGTCATTGAGAACCAACCCAGCGTTTTGGTCTAAGAATCCCATCAGTCCCAGCCAGCAATCCCATTCCTTGAGGGAAGATGCACTGGTGAGCCTCGCTCTTGTATAAGATAACAGGTTTCTAAATCACAGTCTACTCCTTTCCCTTCTTCTACTTGGGGAAGCAAAGTAATTCAGGAGGTGAGCATGCTGTGCGGACAGATAGCTTATAAATATGGAACATTATATTAAGAGGTTCTCTAGAATTTGAAGAATGTCCTTTTGCCCTGCACTCAGCACCAGGGGACAGCCCCGCCCAATACCCTGAATGGAACATATGGTTATGAATTCTGCTGCTCAACACAGACCAACTTTTGATATTAAGATGAAAACGAAATATTAGCCGGTTTTTGCACACTTTCTTGAAGAGAATTGCTTGTTTATTCACACAATTATGCCGTTATTCATCGCTCAGGCATTGCTTCCAAATTCTGCATCAAGCATACATGAGTATCGTGGCACAAAATCCTATTAATAATATATAAATCAAATGATTGCAGGACTTGCCCAATACGGAACAGTATATCAGGAGTTGGAAGCATATCACTGAGTGGCTTTGATTTCTTTATCCGCTGGGGGAAAGGAACGTTTTAAAACTGATATTGTTGCTTCCCGTGCCTTTGCATTAGGCAGAGTTACAGTGCCATCTAGAGGTTTCAAGAGGCTATAATCAACAACACCAACAGCACATGAGGGTGCAGAAAACAGCAAGCAGTGGGTTTCAGATATTGTGGAGGGTGAAAGGAGGCAATTCGTCGAAAGGTGAGATGTATGCAAGATAAACACTGTGTCAATTCACAACAGCAGCCTCCTAGCCTTGTTGAGCTAAGCTACACTCTGTGTAGAAGAATAACTCTTTTGTAGAAGAATTTCAACATGTAGGTCAGTGGTGGAGTGCGCTGGCAGATTGAGATATATCGCCACCGCTTGGAATATAAGCATAATGCAGGAGGAGGGGGTGGTCCCCTGAAGTTCTGAAAGGGAGAATGCGGTCAAAACCATTTCACTCCATGTCTTGGATTTTTCTTGGAAGGAAGAGTATGGCACACGATTCCAAAAGATTCTCATTCACTCAAAGTCTGGGTTGAATGGCAGCCACCTCTCGGCCCCCACTAGGTCCGCTGCCATTTGAGGAAGCCTGTTCCCAGGTAGCACAGAGTACCTCTCTGCTCAGCCCCATCTTTAAAAGAATTTGCTGCCCCTGGATAAAGGGGGCTTCCCCTTCATCGATCAGCCTTCCTGAGCTCCTCTGAAGCTTTGCAAGGTAGAATAGGTTATGGCTTCCAGGCATGAAGGTGTTAAAATAAAGAGAAGCAACCCCAGGTTTAGGAAACAAGAAAATAGTTCACCAAGATGGAAAAGACAGATAATGCAATGCATAAGTTGCAGGAAACTAGCATATTCCCTTTTGGAGCAATCCAATATCCTTGGACGAAACAGTCCATAAACTCAACCAGGCTCTCAAGAGAATCTTACTCTTGAGTAGCAGCCTTTCTTCCTTGTACCACGTCAAAAATGCTTGTCTCCAGGCTGGCTATCCCAAGATACAGTCTCCACTTGTCAATCATATGCTCCACTCAGTGTCACAAAACCCCTGAAGCCAAGATATGCGCCATCTTTCACTTCCACAATGGCGTTTCATTGCGTTGATAGCTGAAACTCTCAGCATTTGCTAGGCTTCCAGATTAACCCTATAATCCGCATTGAGCAAACAAGTGACAATATGCATCTGATATTACATGCAACAGTTTGTACCAACCGTCTGTTTAAACGAAGCCTAGAAAATGTGCATTCCCGTTGAAGTAAAATGCAACAGCCCATAACAGTAAAGTACAATTTCCTCCTCATGACAAAAATCCCATCTCATGAGAGAGAAAAAACTCAGCAAGGGAGTTGTACATGCCTGCTCCTGGGGGGACATTCCAATATATCTGCATTACAGAATAATGTATCAAACAATGATAATTTTGTATAGAACAGTCCTGATATTCTGACAGGGACAGGGGGCAGTGGTAACTGTTTGAGTGACATTTTGTGTTACAAAGGATCACGAACAAGCAGGCTTTCTGAGCAAGGAAGGCAATTTGCCGGATCGTTTCAGCATGAAAAACTGATGTGACAGGCTTTTGCTTATTTTTCACCAAGCAGTAAAATAACTCCCGGCTTCAGCTTCATGCAGGTGCACAGCATGGAGTAAAACAGGCAAGGATGAACTCTAAGAGCTTAATCAGACTCTCAGAGGGGAACAGGAAACTATATGTTGACAGCTCAGTGATGGAAATGGCTTTAGCAACTACGCTGGCAGACGGGAGGCTTTCTCTTTGCAAAACCACTTCACTCACACATGCACACAAAAACAATGCCAGTTTCATAACCTCAAGATCCCTGGTGTCAGGTTGACTAGCAGTTGCTGCCAGAAAGTTGACTTGAGTAGAACCTGGCTACTTGTCATCTTTGGCCTCTGTGACCTGATCCACTCCACCCTCGCAAGGGAGGCAACTAGGCCTTTTCCTTTGGCTGGCTGGCTACTCATTTAGAAATACCTCTGTGGTCAGGAAAGCAGGCCAAGATATTACTTGGAGGGCAGTTGCATTGCTTTTTCATGCCTTTTCGCTCTCTCTTGTTTGCAGTTTGCACAAGAAGTGTGCATGCACACGAAAGTTCATACCAATAACAAACTTAGTTGGTCTCTCAGGTGCTACTGGAAGGAATTTTTTTATTTTGTTTCGACTACGGCAGACCAACACAGCTACCTACCTGTATCTGTAATTTTTGTATTTTTAATTTCCTATTTTAAATTAGTACTAGCTGCTGCAAGAGTCAGTTACTTGGCAGGATACAAATTTTGCAATAAATAAAACTGAATGTTAACATTGTCATGAAATTTTATTTTAAGCTAATTTGGAGCTGGAGTTGGAGGGGGCAAAGTATCTGCAAGCATTTTGAAGAAAGCTGCATGAATTGTGGTAAATTTCAAAGCTGGAACATGTGCAGTGGGCAACCAAGATTAGAAAAGATCTGGAAACTAAGCCTTGTGGGAAGTGTTTGGAGGAGATGGGCATGTTTAGCCTTGAAAAGAGGAAATTCAGAGGTGATACGATAGCCATTTTCAAATATCTAAAGGGATATCACATGGAAGATGGAGCAAGCTTGTTTCTGCTGTTCTAGAAGGGAGGACACAAACTGTGAAGCAGTTTTCAGGTAATTGGATCTCCTGTGTTTTGAATATCACATGTAAGAGTTTGCTGTGGAACAGTTGTCCTTCCTTGGACCAAAGTATCACAAACCAATTGCCATGTAAACTATTCCAGTTGCTTGACTGGATTGTACTTGCAAGACAAAACCAATGACCCTTGTTCACTTTGCCAAAGACTTGTATCTAGCCCCTTCCATTTCTGACAGATGATCATACTATTTGTTGGGTGCGCGCGCACACACAAAATCCTTTTGAATAAGCATATCTTTGTGTAGCTCATAATCACCTTAATCATGCTGACAAAAGATTATAAATATATGTCAAGAAATGATTCAATCTTCACTTTTCTCCCCCACAACCAACCACTAAGAAACCCAGTAAAGTTCTTTGTTTAAAGAGCTCTGGTGACGACTAATCCATTTATCAGTTTTACATTTCCTGTGCTGTTTCCTAGGTTTTGCATAGGGGAAAAAACAATCACGTTGTTGAACTGAAACAACACAGTTGAAAGCCTTTCATAAAGGCGCTGTGCCAGTTTCAACATCTGTGCTCAACAGGTTGGCTTTGGTTAGGTAAAGAACAGGTCCTCTTTTTGATCTAAATCTTTAATAATTGATCTGAAAACATTTTCATAGGTAAATGGAACTGCAGTATTTCCACGGAACTATAACTAAAGACGACTGTGAAAAATTACTGAGCAAAACAGGAAAAAATGGGAGCTTTTTAATACGAAACAGTGAGAGTATTCCAGGAGTCTTGTGCCTTTGTGTTTTGTAAGTATTTCCCTTTTCATTTAAACTAGTTATCTTGCATTTCTTTTGGAGAGAATAGCTTCAGTTCAGAGAAACCTAACCACACTTCAGTTATGAAAGTTAACCATGTCTAACTTAAGCCAACATGATATTACATACACCAGAAGTTTATTTGATTAAGTGGTTTATAGATTTTTCAAAATAAAATATATTGATATCAATGGGGCTTACACACAACTTTCTATGGATTGGGTCCAACCTTTATTATGTTTGGAATTTTTGAGAGGTAACAGCCGCCTGATTTTAATAAATCAAAGAAGTTCATCTAGTCATATATAAATGTAATCCCAGGGGTGTGCGCACATGAAAATGATTCTGCTTTTGATTGTAAGTTGCATTTAGAGTCTGGCTCAGATCAAAGTACTTCTTTTGCTGTAAAATGTACATATACAGTAAAATATATATTGGACCAATTTTTATCTGAAATCTATTTTAAATTTTTCAAATTATTGAAGCCATAACTCTAAATATTTGGTAAACCAATTGTCTCTTTACATATTCATAGTAAATGGTACTTATAACCCCTCCACATGGACAATGTTCACAGAAGAATCTTAAAATTAGCAAGTTTTTCAACTAGTAAGCTACAGATTTCATCTCTCACCCATATGGTGGTACGTTATTCTCCACCATCCGTTCTCCAATGTTTTTGTGGTGTAGGAGCAGAATCTTTTTAGATGTGCAGGTTTACATCCAGAGGAGTGATCTACATAATAAAATCAGTTATCACATATGAATGATGGCAAGTGTAGTTAATATTGATCTCAACGGACTGTTGATCTCAATCAGTACAAGAAACCTCATAGTCGTAAATATTACTGGAAATCAAGTTATATTTATAGTTTCTGCTGTATTGAACTTACATCGTTTCCCAAACATGATTACTCTGATTTGTTAGTTGTTGTTTCTAAGTTGTAGGAAAATAACATTTGTTTGTCTCACACTGAAGACGTATCTTAACGGCTTGCTGGACAAAACTAGTGCTATCTCTGATCTCCTTATCAGAAAACCGGAATTATTGCGACCAACCCGATACCATCAGAAGAGAGTTTATGTACACACTACTTAGAACACATCTGTTTCTTTTGAAGTGCTATACAAATTTAATTATAGCAGTGATTCCATTCAGCTCATAAGAGATAACCAGAAACCTAGCAGCATGAATGGCAGCCTTCCTCTAGCATAATGTGGTAGCCCACATGACCATTTCTCTCTGAATGAACTGGATAGGATTTACAGACCTAATGACTCTTTGACATATATGACTATTATAGCAATTTGACAAATAAGGCAATTATTTATTAATGTGTCTGTTTCCTATTTAAAAATCAGCTATGAACAGATTATCTACACTTACCGAATCTTCAGGAAACATAATGGACACTTTATGATGCAGGTAAGAAAACGACACAACAACAACTATGGTTACATGAAACATACTCAATATGTACTTTTGAATAAATAAGGTATACTCTTCATTGTATCAAATTATAGATTTCAACGGAAGTCTCATAAAAAAAAGCAGAAGACCCAGTGGATCAGTTCCTTCTCTAATCAGTTAATGCATAAGGTCCATATATGTGTAAGTGTCTATTCCACTTGTCTGTTCATAAAGTCCAACAATCCACATGAAAGGTTGTTACAGTTCCACAGAATCCTTTCACAGAGTCTAAGACAAGGATTTCCAGAATAGTAGCCTTGTTTTGCCGTCCTAGGCTTCATCAGTAGAACAGGCTCATATGTAATATTACAGGGTAGTGGATCTTATAGCACAGTAGTGGTTGCAGTCTGACTAGAGAATGAACTGATCCACTGGGTCTTCTGCTTTTCTCGTTGAACTTTATGAGACTTCCATTGAAATCTACAATTTGATACAACGAATAGTATACCTTATTTATTCAAAAGTACAGCCGGATACATCTTGTGTGTTTATTGGGTAAGAAAACGACTACATCTAGAGTAAAATATTGTAATAAATATGCACTTAACAGGTCCTACTAGACACATATGCCACCTTGCTTAACCTTTTTGTTTATTTAACTACTTAAAAAAAATATCTACGTCTCTGGATGACCTTATTTTGGGGTATTCATCCATTCTAACACTTGGTGGGCACCATGACAACCTTAATTTTCAGTGGGATGGAACTCTGCCAAGAGCACAATATATATCAGTTTCATATTCACAGTATCACAGAATTGTAGAATTGGAAGGGACCCCAAGAGCCATCTAGTCTGACCCCCTGCAATGCAGAAAACTCAGCTAAGGCAACCATGTCAGATGGCCATCAAACCTCTGCTTAAAAACCTCCAAGGAAGGAGAGTACTATTCTAGTTATCCATTTCAGTGAAATTAATTAATCTTCGCTCTTGTGAGGAACAGCAATTTACAAATAGTATAATCAAATGGAAATGTGGCAACAATCTACTTCTTTTGCAGACTTCTGAGGGTGCTCCAAAACAGGACTTCAGAACTTTAAAGGATTTAATTGCTACTTATGAGAAACCAAATCAAGGGCTAGTAAGCAACCTGCGCTATCCAGTAAATAGACCTACAACATCCCAAAGATCTCAGACCGTCTACGTCACTAAAGGTGAAGCATATTTGATTCCTGGTAAGAGACACACATAATAATAATAATAATAATAATCAGAAAAGAATGACATACTACTAATACTATGCTGTATAACAATTCTTGTAATGAGAGACTTTCGGGTATATATATTTTTTCCCAAATTAACAAAACTAGTGAAACAACATGAGATGAAAGCCAATTAAGTTTCACTCACAGTGGACCCAATGAAATCAAGACTTTAAAGACCATTGATTGTAATAGGTCTATTCTGGGTATGGCTAACATTGAATATTACCCATGATCTGTAATGGGAAAGGTCAATAAACTCTGCAGTAGAGGATTGATTATAAATAAAATCATAGAGTTGGAAGGGACCCAAGGGTCATCTAGTCCAACCCCCTGCGACGCAGGAATCGTAGCTAAAGCATCCATGACAGATGACCATCCAACCTCTGCTTAAAAACCTCCAAGGGAGGAGAGCCCACCACCTCCCGAAGGAGACTGTTCCACTCTCAAACAGCTTGAGCGGCCCTTACTATCAGAATGCTCTGTCTTTTTAAAAATGATAAAGCAAGCCTGGTGTGGGATGGTAGTTTAAGAGCGCACAGCTAACACTCTGGAGACCTAAACCTAAACACAAGTCTCCTCTCAGCCACAGTGTACCCATGACTTGGAACATTAGGGTAAGGGAACCATGTATCTGCTTTGAGTTTTGAGGAGGCAGAGTTGGGTCAAAATATAATAGATATTTTAAAAAAAAAATCAGAGAAAATAATACTATATAAAATAATAATATAAGAAAACATGTACAGTGGTACCTCGGGTTACAGACGCTTCAGGTTACAGACGCTTCAGGTTACAGACTCCGCTAACCCAGAAATAGTCCCTTGGGTTAAGAACTTTGCCTCAGGATGAGAACAGAAATTGTGCGGGGGCAGCAGGAGGCCCCATTAGCTAAACTGGTGCTTCAGGTTAAGAACAGTTTCAGGTTAAGAACGGACCTCTGGAACGAATTAAGTTCTTAACCAGAGATATCACTGTATTAACAGATATGCCCTTCATGAATTTCCATGGAACCTGACATTAAAAGCATAGGATGGTTTAGGAGGTTCTGAAAGCAGCGCTGTGTCAATTAAGCAATTAAACCTTCTGAGTAAAAAGGGAAGTTTCAATCAAGCAGCAGATTCTAATTGATACTCACTAAAACCAAGGCCAGCAGGTACCATCTTAGAACAGGCAATATCCTTTATCTCACACATAGGAGATAATGGCTATCCTTAAAATGGTGTCTGGTGTGAAATGTGAGTACAGAATTTTAAAACACATAGGCTTTTTCTCATAATTCATATGCAAAATTATGCATGTTTGCTCAATGTCAATAGTCTATTTAATTCAATTAGAGCTATAAAATAGAACATAGTAAGAAAGTCCTATTTGAAGTAGTCAGCAGCTTTAAAGGTGCTATATGATGACATATCAGAGGAATTATTTCAAACCTCTATATAAAAAGTAATATCAATCAATCACATATACAAAAGTTTACTCTAATAAAAATCACAAAACTGACAGCTTCAGAGCCTAAATAACTAGATTAATTAGTTACCATAGAGGAAATACAAAAGGTTGCAACAACAATGAGGCACCATAAAATTTCTGGATCTGATTATTATATTCCACCTTCTCTCCAAGGAGTTCAAGGTGGTGTACATTGTTCTCCCTCTCCCCATTTTCACTTCACAACATGATTTAGATTAGGCTAAGAGACATCCCATCTTTGGGAAAGATGGAGGGCACAAGAAGAAGGGGACGACAGAGGACAAGATGGTTGGACAGTGTTCTTGAAGCTACAAGCATGAGCCTGACCAAACTGCGGGAGGCGGTGGAAGACAGGAGGCCTGGCGTGCTCTGGTCCATGGGGTCACAAAGAGTCGGACACGACTAAACAACTAAACAACAACAACAAGAGACAGCAACTGGTCCAAGGTCACCCAATGAGCTCAATGACTGAGTGGGGACTAAAATCTTGGTTTCCCAGGGCTTAGTCCAATACTCTAATCACTATACTGCACTGCTCGCAGCTTAACTGGTCTAATTAGCTATTCCAAAGTCTTTGCAGAATTTTGACTGAGGCATTAAGAGGTACTGTAAATGAGATCTTAAAAAAATAGGAACTTTTGAATAGAAGTTTATATAGCCTACATTTAAGCATGGTAAGAATTTGTCTCTAAGTTACTTCTTACCAAAAAATATCACTCTTAAATAATTATTATAAAATATTTAGAACAATTAGCTTTATATGTAAGAGGATACAGATAATGTAGGGGAAATAATATATTTATGGAATCACAGGCATGCCTACTCTTAATTAGGTCTCATTAAGTTCAGTTGGAATTCCACCCCCATCCCCATTTGAATGTGTATTGGATTTTAGGCACACAGTGCCATTTTATGCACATTTACTTAGAAGTAATTCTCATTGTACTCAATGAGACTTCCAGGTAAGTTTGAACAGGACTGCAGTTCAAGGGAATCCCGCTAAAGAGACTCTTGGACTTTTTAGACACTGAAAAAAGCATTTGATAATATTGAGTGCCCTTTTCTATTTTCTATTTCAAGTTTTGGAGTTTTGTTATGATTCAATATTTAGAACTGGATAGCTTTAACCAATCCCAAAGCAAAAGTAACAACAAATGAGCATATATCATCCAATCTTACTCTATCAAGAGATACCCAACAGGGATGTATTCTACCTGGTCTTTTCTTTGTGGGTATCCCTACTAATAAAGCAATGAAAACTGATTTACACATTATGTTATGTTCATTCCTTTTCACATATGGCTTTGAGAAATAAGCATTAGGTAAGGAAGATGAAATTTTAAATAATGAATAAAGGTAATAAATGATTTGTTCTTCTGTTTGCAAATGCTGCAGAATGAATGCAAAATGGGATAGGTCAAAGAATTTGTGATTCAAGTCATTGGAGCTATTGAAATGTCAGTTTGAGAATATCTGTGAAGTAGAATAAAATACAGCATGATCAGACTTCCACTTGTGCACTCTTTCTTCAACCTGCAGCCCCTATAATCTCCTCCCCCATAATCTACTCTCCCAACCCTCTGGAGCTTATTTAGAGGCATTTAAAAGAGGAAAATTCACTGTGCAAGTCTCTTCCATTAGCATATGACCAGCACTGGATACAGGTTTTAATTTTTGTTTTAAAATTATAGCACAGCTGTACATTAAATTTGTAAAGATTCATAGAATACATAATGCTTATGGCCCAATGCTAAAATGCACGTAGGCTGCACGAAAAGAGCTTTGGATCATACTTCTTTCATTCATTTACCATCTTTCTACTATAAAATTATTTTTAGAAATTGTTTCCAAAACCCACCACAATGAAGCAATAAATAGCAAGGAATTCAGTATCAGTTGTACAAATGATTCTATCTACTTTCGAGCCGTTGTGTTTTAATGACTGTAGTAACCAGTAAGGTATATATGTTTGTTCAGGAACTATAATATTTTCAAAATCAAAAGCCTGTTTTAAATAGTTAGTCTATTCTGGGATGGAAATAAAACATTTGACCCGGAGGTGTTGGATTATTTGGACTCTACCCTTGAGAACTTTGAAAATGGAATCAGAAGCCATATGTCCAGAGTAAACATTCACTCAGGAGGGTTGTGGAATCACTAGAGCAATAGGTGACTGCAGAAGGAGGAAGAAATTGAAATTGTTTCCATACCTTCTTTAAGTGAAAGAGTCAACTTGTTTGTAGTGTGCTGGGTGCATCATATTAACGTTGTCCATCATGACTTTCCTCTATTCCCATTACATAAGCAATGAATTAGAATATTTTACAATTTGAGTGATACTCTTGCTTTAATTAGGAACGAAGCTATATCACTGGCAGGGAAAGCTATCTCATGTTATCTTTGCCTGCCTTGTAATTTATTGAATATTTTTACTAATATATTTGCCAAGTGGAGGGAGTAAATTCTGTGAATGTTTGAAGAATTCTCCATTTGTTCCAAGTTTAGATCACAAATGTCCAATTTAGATATTTGCATTACTTCAGATTCAAAGGACCAAAATTGAATTAAAAAACGAAGCGACAGTTGAACAGTCTAAATAAGATGTTATTAAGACTCTAACTCCTATTAGCCCCCCACCAGTGCAACTAATGGTTGGGGATATGTAAACTGTGGTCCAGTAAAATCTGTAAGGTCAGAGGTTAACCACCCTTGGTCTAAATGGAAATATTTCCTGACTTGGTTTGGGTCTAATAAACTGCAAGTGTTATTCTGCTTGAGTAACTGGGCTTTATTTCCACCTTTCCCATTGCAGCTTTGTGGAAGGAATGAGCCCAAATTGGGCAAAATTATTATGTGCTCGCAGAAGCACATATTATGCTGAAACTTTGTGAGCAAAAGCCTCGCCTTGATGGACCCTTCTCAGGAAAAGAGGAATTAGAAGGGAGCAACTTGCAACTGAGATAAATAAGCGTCACAGTACCTTTTCTGCTGCAGTTTTCCTCTCCTAATACTGCTTTGCAGAGAGGTAGCAAGTAGCTATTGGGATTACAGGACACTGATAATGAAATGTGTAGTTATAGCTTCTTCACTGAGCAATATGTCTTATTATGTTCTATACCACGTGATTCTGCAAATGTTAAGTTTCAGCAGTGCTATTCCCCCCCCCTTAAAAAGAGGTGCCAGAACTCAACACGAACACCTCCCCTGTTCTCTTAGAATGGCAATGCTGCCCACCTGAGAGGTCCCAGAACTGAGTTCCATCTGAAAAAGGCCCTGAGTTTCAGTCAGAAGTAATTATTCCAATACAAGCCATCACACCATCTGTTTGGGTCTGCCAATAAAATATTATCTTTCTCCACTCAGAGAAATAATCAAATGACTTGCTTTTTTTTTCCTCCCCAGAAAATGAAGATGCTGAGGATTATCTTGAAGTCTTACCTGAGTGATTGGCTGAAGGACCATTTCTCATGGCTTGCTTCATCTCTCAACACAGACACTAGTCTTGAGTGGGTCACACTCTTGCTAACTGGATAGTCCATTTGACTGGATTTTGTTTTCATTTGTGCTCTAGATAGTACTGCCCACATGGTTATCTCTTGCTTACTTGGCTCTTGCTCCAGCAAAAAACCCAACACTCTTCCTTTTCCTTCCTGTATTCGTGGTACCTATACCTGCCCACTTAAATGACCACTTCATAGACCTGATAAAATGGAAACTGAGCTGCAAAACTTATGCCACTATAAAAGCTGCAGTACATTTTAAGAGAAGCAAGTTTAATAGCATCCCGTACATCAGGCATGGCCAAACTTGGCCCTCCAGATGTTTTGGGACTCCAACTCCAATCATCCCTAGCTAACAGGACCAATGGTCAAGGATGATGGGAATTGTAGTCCCAAAACATCTGGAGGGCCAAGTTTGACCATGCCTGCCCTACATGGAGTCAAGTTTGAACTTGCTACATCAATGATGAACTGGACTATAGACCAGAAAAGCTTATTCTGTAAGAATTTTTAGTTTTTAATCTTTAGTTGTTTCCTTCATTCAACTTTGTGAATAGTCATGAACACAAGTGTTGGCTGATTTTATTTTTTAAATTTTCACTTATTTATTTTGGCAATTCGCAACTAGCATCGGTAGCAGCATGTTGAACAGAGTAATGCTAAACATAAAGGTAAAGGTAAGGTACCCCTGCCCGTACGGGCCAGTCTTGACAGACTCTAGGGTTGTGCGCCCATCTCACTTAAGAGGCCGGGGGCCAGCGCTGTCCGAAGACACTTCCGGGTCACGTGGCCAGCGTGACAAAGCTGCATCTGGCAGTAAGCGGTCCCTATTTATCTACTTGCACCCGGGGGTGCTTTCGAACTTCTAGGTTGGCAGGCGCTGGGACCGAGCAGCGGGAGCGCACCCCGCCACGGGGATTCGAACCGCCGACCTTTCGATCGGCAAGCCCTAGGCGCTGAGGCTTTTACCCACAGCGCCACCCGCGTCCCATGCTAAACATATTTACTTGCAATTAAATCCTACTGAAATAATTGGGGATTAAGTTTGATATACACCATAGAGCTCTGCAAGAGTTACTGCTGATATCCATAACAATATATCAAATACTAAATGATAATTTGCTTCAACTGTATCATGTTACCCTGGCGAAGTAAGTCACAGCAATTTTATAATTATATTGTTAAGGAACAGTACTATAAAGTTGTCACTGTGCATAGTTCAATTATTTGTAAATGTCTCACTGTAGTCTCTAGTCAGGTCAGAGGCCACTCTAGTTCCCAAAGGACTTCAAGCTATACCCCGGAAATGCCAGAACTACTCCCCAGAAGTATAACCAGTTTTACAGCAATACACATGTACATTTAGGTGTAAGTGTTTGCAGGTAGCTACTGTAGAACCTGATCTAACAGCATAGCACACTCTGGGAACTATTTTTGAAAGCCCCTCCCCTTCAGCTTTCCCACCTTTACTTATGTGTAGTAAAGAAAAAAGAGTTTGTAGAAGCTAGTGCTTTAAAGGCGCATTTTCATTCTGGAATAAACATAGTGCAGTTTGCAGTCTCGTTAATTTAATCACTTGATTGACCAGTTTGGGCCTAAGGGAGGTAAGAACATTTAGAAAAACCCAGTACTGTAAATAGGACTTTTTCCTTCTCTAGATAGTAAGGCTCTGTCTCTCCTTCAGAATAGCTTTAAGTTCCTAGTACCCCTATAAAGCGAGATGAGCGCCGCAACCCCAGAGTCATGACTGGACCTAATGGTCAGGGGTCCCTTTACCTTTACCCCTATTCTAGTGAAAAGGAAAGCAAAGTTTATATGTAGCCAGTCTATACGTAGCCAGGATTGTAAATATTACATGAAGATTTTAACATGCAACCTGTGGTCATATTAAATTCATAATTGTTTTAAGTTGGTAAAACATAAATAAAACTACTCCATATACCAGTTTAAGGTACCATATTAGGATGCTCACTATCTGAGGCTGCCAGATGTCCAAATCCATTGTTTGCTCATACATTACAACTATATGGTGCTATGTGATTCAGTTGCACGCAACAGCTTTCCTCCTAATTTTTCAGCTTGTAGGACACCTGTACCACTTTACCTGTATCATAAAATGGCAAGAAATAAAGCCCCATTGCACTAATGCACAATGCCTGAACACACATCTCTCAAGTGCCACCAACTTTGATGTCGTTTTAATACCAGGCAAAGACCGTTATATTTTCCCAGGATTTTTAATATGACCTGTTTTATCTCTACCTTTATGCTGCCTTCTCTCCGCTGACTGCTTTTATGTTGTTCTCTTTTAAGTTGTGTTGTTCTGATTATTATTATTATTATATTTTAAACTTAATTTTACTGGAATTTTTATTCTTAAGTCATAATTGTACTTATCATTCCTGTATATCAGGCTTACTTCCAACACAGTTTTTGACTGCAAAACTCCTTGTTCAGTTTACTCAACTCTTTTGTACACATTACAATGTCAGAAGTGGGTGGAAAATATGTTAGCACCTAGCTTACACAGGATTTAGCACTTTCATAGTGGCTGGTTGTTTTAGCGTGCCAATACCCCTTTAAAGTTATCTGTGCCCACAGGAAATAACAGTTCTTATCTATTTTGGCTGCCTCTACTTATTTACTCCAGATAAGTCCTATTATAGTCATACTATCCCAGGCAAGGCTGGTTCATCTATTGAGCTCAGATGTTGCTGCACTCTCTCCCCCCCCCCCAAATTATCTCTGATTGTTGGCCATGCTGGCTAGGACTGATGAGAATTGGAATCCAACAATACTGGGAGAGTCATAGGTTAACCATCCCTGATCCAAGGTGATACTTCCTGCTGGAACAGAGTTAAAGTAGCTATGTAAGCACCAAGTCACACAGCCACCATGTCAGAACAATACATAGTTTCATCTGCACAATAAAATTGAAAAATTAAAATTAAGAGTTCCTGTAGCCATGGAAGTAACCCCACAGATGTAGGGCATCTACACAATTTTAAAGACTATGGAAATGGTATCTGGAAGAAGAGAAGAATGCAGAAACTGAAATAACAAGTAGACATGGAAAGTGGATTAACTGGCCAAGGGAGAGGAGCCAGAAGCTGTGTCTTTGGGGCTGCCAAAAGGGTTAACCTTAGGCTTCATCAAACACCAGAGGACCCTTGTAGATGTCCTCTTTATGATTATATGAAGATAGTAAGCAACCATAAGAGAAGAAACCTACCTTGCAGAACAGTACTGTCAATCAACGTACCAAATACCAAATTCCATGCTGGAATTAAAAAGGGCAAAATCAGAGCAAAGTTCAGTGCAGCAATTTCAAGAATAATCTCAACACATGAAAACTGATCAGGAGAGATAAGATGGACGGCAAATGTGAGCAGGAAGTTGTACAGCTGCTAGCAGAACATTTCATCCACATTCCCTCAGAAGCAGTGTTTTGTTGTAACGTTAGAGGATTTCCAAAAAATGAATAACCCCGTCATCTCCAGGGAAGATTAAGGAGCTTGCACCATCCTGAACATCTCTGCATGATATTTTTGGTTTGTGAGGTACATTTAAGTGTCTTTATTTATGCTTCTTGTTTTCCACCATTCATTTCACTGAGCACAGGCCTGGATGAGTATCCTTATATAGTGGAAAATGGTATTTCAAATAGTGGCAGGGGGGAAAAACTGCAGCAAAGTTTATACCTTAGACTAGAGTCCACCTCATCAGTTGTATGTAGTAAGTCACTGTTATAAGAAAAAACTGCTCCCTTTTCCCTTATGAGGTATCCAAGAGCCCGTATAGAGTCCTTATGTAGTTTCTCTATTGGTAGGAGAAAATAACAGAGGCCAACCAGAGAATATTGAGAAGCAAAGCAGCCAGTAAGCATAATCTTTATTAAACTGTTGCAACAGGGTTCCCCGCTCACCCAACGCAAGGAGGGAGGAGAGGAACCTAGAACATTGGTGTGCAAGCTCTTATACAGACTTTTGAAATTGCCTACCCCCAAAACATCACAGAAAGAGGTGGTCCCCAGCAGAAATTTGAGTGTGTTGCTTCTCTCCTGTCTGCCAGGATACCTGATAAAGCCTTATCCAAGTGGTGGCCAACTCTGAACAGACTGCGATCTACTCAGAGAGTTAAAAACTGGCAGTGGTCTACCCCCTTTTCGGGGGTTCAGGTCAAAGTTAAGCTTTTTTTTTAGGGAGGAGGAAAGCCCCGTGTTTTAGGGGTTCAGGTCAAAGTTGCTGAGATTTTTTGAGGCGGGAGGAAAGCCCCGTTTTGGGGGCGGGGTAAAGGGCAAAAATGTTAAATGTTGAGCTTTTTTTAGGGGAGCCAAAGTTGTTGAGCTTCTTTGGGTGGAGCCAGTGATCTACCATAGATCACGATCTACCTGTTGTACGTTCCTGACTTATCTGATTGCCTTTTCTAGGTAGCCTGGCCATTCCTTTGAGATGTTAAATAAACCGGTACTGTATATGCATGGGGAATTACAATGCACTGTTGCGCTTATTGCACGAGAGCCACAGAGCAGCACCCTATCTTGATGCAAACACGCAAACCAAACTGGCACAACACACGCACGCACAATAGGAAACGGGCCAGTTCGCCGCTGCTTGTTGTGATGTTTGTCCGGCCACGTTTCTTCCGCGGCTATTCTCTTTCATCTCCCACCGGACATGGGCGCCCACCCCGGACCGGCTTCGCGTGCGCATCCGCCTCGAGAGCTCCCACGCGAGGAGAAAAGCATCACCTCAGGAACAGCCGCAGGACAAAAATAGCGCCGCTTGTGACCCTTCCCTCCCAGCATGCACCGGGGCAAGGGCTGCTTCGCTCTCGAGCTCGCCCTAGTTCCCACAGAGCTGCTACTTCGCCACACGACGCGAAAGAACCACCGCCGCGGACGGAAATAACTCTGCCCCGGCCGCCCACTCCGTCTAGCATCGATTTCTAGGCTGCGAGGGGGTGTCTCGTGCTATTGTTTTGTTGCCCCCGTTCCTCCCCCGCCCCTCCCCGTTCCTCCTTTCGACTGGGACGAGAGGACTTCAACGGCTCTCCTCTCCAACCTCCCGGCATGCACCGGGGCTTCCGGCCTGCGCCGGGGGCTCCTCCTCGCGTCAAAATGGCGGCCAAGGCGCCAAATACGATTTTCTGACGGCGGGATTTGAGGCGCTGCGAGGGAAGGTCCGCGGAGGCGGCTGGGCCGCCAGCGCTATGGACACGCAGGCTTGTATGAAGTCGCTGCTCCTCGCGGCCTCCCAGTACCGGGCTGCGCGGACCCCGCCCAACGCAGCGCTGCTGCAGCGGAGTCTGGAGGTGAGAGCAGCCGAGCTGCTAGGTGTGCGGCTTTCCGTCTCTCGGCTCGGCTGGTCGCGGGTGCCTGGCCGGGAGTGGACGGAAGCGGCTGGGAATGTCCCTTTTCCTTTGGGATTTATGTTTTTAGGAGTTTTCTCTCGAAAGCAAAACAACAGCAACAAACAAACCCCGATACGCACAGCGAAAAAGTGCCTTGCAAATAAAGCGGCCGAGGCAAACTTAACCTTTGCAAACTTAATCTGGCAGTAAGCCCTATTTTGAGATCGTGGGGACCTAAAGTGCAATTTTCTACATTATTTGAAAAAGAAGTGAGAGGTAGGGGTGGAGATTGGAAGCGGGGAGGGGAAATATACCCCCGTTTGATTTCTACTGGTTCCTTAGCTGGCAGGCGTATAACAGGCCTGCTCACAACAAAGGAAGCTGCCGTACATATGCAATCATCAGCAAAAACTGCAAGGTTTTTAGCGGGGGCAATTAGAATAAGATATATTATTTGATTATTCATGCAAACCTCTAAAATATATTTTGCATAGTTAAGTTCTTACACTTTATTTGCAACAGCCACTAGCCATAGTAATAAAATAAAGATTCTTATGAGTGCATATGCAATCAAGGAATTGTACAGCATGTTTATTTGCAGTGTGTGTTTGTAGTGGTTACTGCAATATGTGCTGTGTGGCACTGCTGTTAAAGTAGGGATGGGGTCCCAGTGGCCCTCCAGGCGAAGCTGAATTTCCACTCTGATGATTGACCTGTGGATTGAAACTTATCTAGCTGGAGTCCAGCAACATATGAGGGCTATAATGGCACATCATAAGGAGCATATGATTCTGAAACCCCTTAACTCAGGATCTCATCACGGGTTTTTTCTTTTATTTATTGCACTTTATTCTATAGCTTGCTGTATTCCATGGACTTGGAATGACTTAGGTAATTTCCCCCTAAATGTTAAAAGCCCTGATCTGTGGGATTCACAATCTGAACCTGGTCACACATTGTGATTAACTATGGAGACTCTGGGACGCGGGTGGCGCTGTGGGTAAAAGCCTCAGCGCCTAGGGCTTGCCCATCAAAAGGTCGGCGGTTCGAATCCCCTCGGCGGGGTGCGCTCCCGTCGTTCGGTCCCAGTGCCTGCCAACCTAGCAGTTCGAAAGCACCCCCGGGTGCAAGTAGATAAATAGGGACCGCTTACTAGCGGGAAGGTAAACGGCGTTCCGTGTGCTGCGCTGGCTCGCCAGATGCAGCTTGTCACGCTGGCCACGTGACCCGGAAGTGTCTTCGGAGAGCGCTGGCCCCCGGCCTATAGAGTGAGATGGGCACACAACCCTAGAGTCTGTCAAGACTGGCCCGTACGGGCAGGGGTACCTTTACCTTTTATGGAGACTCTGCTCTGTACTTTCTGCTTCAGAGTTATGGAAGGTGGTCACAGGGGAGAGGACCACCAGACTTATGGAACTTAATCTCTACTGAGGCTCCCTTGGATCGTTCTGAAATAAATCTATACAGGCAACTCCCAATTTACACAGCGGTTACATTCCAAAGCACCACATATTTAAGTGAAATTGCATATATTGCATGGTCGAACACATCAAACATGTCTAAGATGGTTGCCTGTATACACTTGTATTAAAAAGCATTCAGAATCAATTGATTTGGGAAATTTTGTTTAGGTGCTAGTTCTGATTGCTTTGGCTTTCTGGTTGTTTGTTTGTTTGTTTATTTTTATTTATTTACAAACCCCTTTTGATGTTCAGAAAGGTGGAGGAGATAAATCTTAAATAGGGAACACCAAAATTCATTGTTTATCTGAACTACATTTCGCTTAATTGTAATCTTGACCCACTCTGGAAAGTGGGTGCTATGGAAGAAAGTGCTTATCCATAGGCATTTGGCAGTTCTTGTAGCACTGGAGCCTATATTGCTATTTTCGGTTGGAAGCCACTTGGTTAGTTTTTTTAATTAATTAAAATGTATAGAACAAGTCTGAAAATACTCTTATTGTAGTTAATAAATCTATGTAGAATTTCCACCAGCTCCCCAATTCTGTCTGCATACAGTATTCAAGTTAGAATTCTTGCAGATCTGATAGAATTCAGAGAAAAAACTACCTTTAGCCACTTCTTGAGAGCCTCAATTTTGTAAGCATCTAGGTTGAAGTGTTCTTCTGAGGGTGCACTCACAAGGACACTTTTTTCCAACTGTTAGTTTTGTTCAACTGTCATACTTTTGGAAGATGCTGTTAACATGTTATCTAGCTCTGGTATGTTTATACTACTCGTAGAACTCTTTTTGGAAGTATGGTAAAGACATGACATACAGTAAGTTGTTGTGTATGTGTTTGATTATGTACTTATTTCAAAGAATGGTCTTTGAAAAGAATGGCTCCACTCTAAATTAAGCCCTGCTAAGTTCTATTGATTTTTGCGAGAGAAAGTTAAGGATACTGTACTATGTCTTTTCACTTCATTGAAAGTGAGTTCATAGTTCACTTAGCTTTGTGGAAGACTGCTGTGTATATTTGACAACTACCAGTTTGCATACAGAGCAAATAGATCCACAGAAGACGCCATCAATACCACTCTCCATGCTGCTCTGTCCCATCTGGAGCAGCCGGGGAGTTATGTGAGGCTGCTGTTTGTGGATTTTAGCTCTGCTTTTAACACTATCCTCCCCCATAGACTGGTGTCCAAGCTAGAGGCGATTGGACTCTCCAACTCCACCTGTCTCTGGGTTTTGGATTTTTTGTCAGAACGTTCTCAGAGGGTTAGAGTAGGGTCACATATGTCCACAGCCCTTAGCCTTAACACCGGCTCACCACAGGGTTGTGTGTTGAGTCCCCTGCTCTATGCTCTCTATACGTATGACTGTACAGCCATCTATTCCAGCAACAAAATCATCAAGTTTGCTGATGACACTACGGTGGTAGGGCTCATTTCAGGAGGGGATGAGTCCGCCTATCGGGACGAGGTGGAGCGGCTCTGTGTTTGGTGTGGAGAGAACAATCTGGCTCTTAATACGGCTAAGACCAAGGAATTGGTGGTGGATTACAGAAAAAAAAAGGCGGACATTCAGCCCTTGTATATCAACGGGGAACGGGTGGAGAGGGTGGCGGAATTCAGGTTTTTGGGAGTAACTATCGATCAGGGCATGACTTGGAGCGCACATACCACTGCTCTGGTGAAGAAGGCCCAGCAGAGAATTTATTTCCTCAGACTTTTAAAGAAGAACAATCTGAGTGAGAGACTGCTGGTGTCCTTCTACCGAGGCTCCATAGAGAGCATTCTTACATACTGTATTTGTGCTTGGTTCTCCAGTTGTACAGCTAGGGAGAGGAAGGTGCTCCAGAAGGTCATAACCACAGCCCAAAGGATTATTGGTCATCCTCTCCCATCTTTGGAAGAACTGTACGGTTCCCGTTGTCTTAGGAAAGCAAATAACATCCTGAAGGATTCATCTCACCCGGGACACAGTCTGTTTGCACTACTGCCTTCTGGCAGGAGATATAGAAACATCAAGTCAAAGACAAATAGACTGAAAAACAGTTTCTATCCAAGAGCTGTGGCCTTTTTGAATGCTGTAACTCGATAGTGTGACCTGGGAGTTTGATGGGTGTTGGTGTGGGTGTGGCTGGAATGTGGTTTGTTTGGTTGTTGTTGTTGTTTTGCTTTTGTTGTTTTAAGGGATGGCATCCAATTTCGTTGCACTTTGTGCAATGTTGCACTTGTGTAATGACAATAAAGAATCTATTCTATTCTATTCTATTCTATTCACTAGAGTTCCAATATACTTAAGGAGTCTTTGGTTCAGTGTTACTATTTAGCTTTAGTTAGTAGTTACCATATTAAATACATTTTTCCAGGTCATCTCAGGATTGAAGCTGACAAGATTTTTTGCATCGAACCAGATTTTACCAAGTGAATGTCTATGCTGCTTAGTGGAACTCATTGAAGATCCAAATACAAGCCCCCAGTTAACCCTGAATGTGGTAGGCTTTCTCTCTCAACTGGGTAAGCCTTAAATACATTTGAGTTGCATATCCTGAGCTGTTTAATGCTTTGTAGGTCAAAATACTTCATAATTACAGATAAAGTGTAGTGTAAAACTTATGATTGGCTCTGATTTCTTGCAAACTTTTGTATATAACTTTCTCAGACATCACACTAAAATGTAATGTTAGAGTGTTCTGATCATCATAACCAAAATTTCTTGGCTGGATTTTTTTTTTAAAAAAAACGTTTTAAAAATATTAAAGTTATTGCTTTTGTGCAGCTCATGAATGCAACAACTTAGTTATTGTAAGAAAAGCAGGAATACAAAATCAGTGTCTGGACTTAGTAATGCACTGGATGAGGTCAATAAACTGAAGCACAATCCTAACAAGATGGATGTGGGTGGGTAGTATATGGAGTCCAGGAAATTGGTATTCACTTGCTCTGGATGGGAGCAGGTATACAGGGTGGGAGTACTCCTTGATCCATCATTGTCACTTGATACCTGGAGTGCCTTTTATTACCTATGACTGGTTCACCACCTGTGACAAGATAGCTTTGCCATGCTGATCACAACTCTGTTAGCCTGGTTGGAGTTCTGTAATATGTTGGGGCTGCCCTTTTAAGAGTATATGGAAGTGCATAACTCAGCTGCTAGAATTTTGACAGGTTTAGCCAGAGCTGTTCATATTGCACCTATTTTGAAAGATCTACTGTATATTGAAATCTGCTTCCAAGTCCAATTAAAGATGCTGATGCTTTTACCTTAAAACCTTGTAAGAATTGGAACCCACATTCTGGAGTGCTTCCTTCCATAGCAGCCTCTCCAAGTCTTATCTTCTGGAGAGGCTCTGCTCCAAGTACCCTCTTTAGTATATGTATGTTGTGGTTCTACAAGGAGAAGGCTCTTTGTTCAATGGTGCCACAAGTTTGGAATGGTGTCCTTATGATGGCATGGCTGGCACTGAAATTACGATGGCATGGCTGGCACTGAAACTAGCTTTGGTGCTAGTTGAAAACCTTCCTATTTGACCAAGCATTTTAAATTTTAGATGGCCTTTGGAATTCTGCTGTATTCTATCTTTTATTTACTTTGTTTTGTTTATTTTTACGTTGTATTGAATGAATTGTATTCACACTTTTGTATACTTACGCAAACTTTTGATGAATGGTTAAAAAATATTTTTAAATAAATGGGATGGTGATTTGAATGCTGCTGAGTGAGCAGCGATATGGTGTAAAGCTAGAGATATGTCAACATTGCTTTAGCAGATTTTATTGCAGATATGCCAGACTTTGGGGGAATATGGTAACTGGCCTTTTGTTTTAAGATGGAAATTTACTTGTTTCCAGTGTGTAAGACTAGATCTATAGAAGCAACTAGCATTTCTTCTTAATTTGCTTAATTAAGTTACTTTATATCCCAGCACATTTCAGGAAAATTAAAAAAATAGGTTCAAAGTCTCTTTATTAAAATATAATTGGCTGTTGGGTTTTTGCTTTATAAATTTTGCTTTATAAATTTTCTGAAATATTTTCTAATTGCCTTTGTTCTTGACACGTTGCTTCTAGTGACTATGTGTGTATGTTTATATTTTAGTTTTGGATAATGAGATCAGAGAAGCCCTTCTGAATACTTACAATTTGTGTAGTGTCCTGGCAGGTGTGATTCATCGAAGTTCTATCAATCCCTTTGATCCAGTATTATTACAGGTAACATAATATAATGCTTAACACTTCATATAGCGGGAATTATTTTTTGTAAGTAATGTAAAGCTTTAAAATTATTTTTAGCTATGTTTTGCCTTTCTTCTATGGAACTCAAAGCTATGTGCACATGGTTCCGGGGGGGGGGGTGTCCTCCCATCCAAGCACACATGATATCCAAACCTGCTTTGGTGTCCATGCCATCAGACTATAGCTGAAATGCAAATGTAGAAATTTCTAATAAAATGTGGAAAAGTAATGGCACGCCTGCCTTACTTGATTTAAATAGATTTGTATCCTATAGCCATGGAACAATTATTTCTGCTTCATGTTCTTTTTGGTGTGAAATAATGGGTTAGTCTCATCTTCACTAAAACCAAAACTTGATTGACTACAGTCAGTGAGAGAAACTGTTTTGGTTTTATTCCACCCCCTTTCCTTGCCAACTACTGGTTTCACATCTGCACTTCAGTGATTAATGCCCCTTGATGATTAATAGTCTTAGGGTGCAATCAGCCAGGATGAGCACCATAGGGTGAAGCACTTTTCTGGCTCAGCTAGCATTAAGTCCCCAGCCCCAACACATAACTTGCTCATCCAAGTGAGCCTAAGCTGGCTAAACCTAGGCCTGTGTAAATCCCAAAAATGTGTTCTGGAGTGTTGCAGGAGCATGACCATAGAGTGAGGACTTAGGCTGGATGCTAAGCCCATTCAGCTTGGTCATGTGAACTTGCAACTTGGTGTAGAACATTGAAAGGCATGTTTCCCCTCCTTCCAGGCTTAAGCTTGCTTCATGACAGCTGCTTGTGCATGCAATTGAACCCTTAACCCAGTTGTTTTCAACCAGTGTGCCGTGGCACCCTGGGGTGCCTTGAATGATAGTCAGAGGTGGCAACATTGGTCTCTGTCCTTCTTTCCTTCCCTCCCTTCTCTGATGTCCTCTTGCATCTCTGCCTCCCAAAGGCTTGTGCAGCTGTATGTTGCAGCAGCCCTGGCTACAAACTCCCCAGGCAAATGGTGCCTCTGGGGTTGGTCATGGGGTGCTGGTTGCAGGAGCGGAGGCAGCCTTCGAATAAGCAAGCAAGTGGGTGAGGGAGGCCTGCCAGCCAGTCCACCAGCCCTTGCAGTTGGACGGACAAGTGGGAGGCCAGGCAGGCACTGTGCTGGCCTTTCTTGTGATTGCTGAGTGCAAGGCCTGCCTGGGAGCTGAGTGTCCAGTGCCGAAGGGGAGCCTTTCCAGCATGCAATGCTGGCAGCGCCTGCTGCTGCTACTTCAGCCTCCCAAGGTAAGGTGCTGGCCTCATGTTCACCTTTGGAAAGTCTTTGTTGATCCACTTAGGCTGAGGGCACCCTCTTTCCAGGCCCCTGGCAGGTGGCATGAGGAGGTACCTCTCTTTGGGGTTGGAGCAGGCAGCTCAGAGACCAGGAGTGGCTGTCTGGAAGACTTGCAAGGAGAGGGGAGAGGAGAGGAGGCTAAGGGAACACTTTGCAAGGGAGGGTATTCAAAAAAGGGTGAGAGGCTGCCAGCTCCATAGACAAGGGGTGACATAACTGGGCTCCTGAGTCCCACAGGGGTGCCACAGAAAGAATGTAGATGGTCAAGGGAGCTGTGGACTCAAAAACTTTGAAAACCTCTGCCTTAAACCTACTGATTAGTTGTATAAACTGAATTTTTAAAAGACTATTAATCATCAAGGAGAAATGATTTTAATAGTTTTGAAATAGTATATTGTCTAGTTCCTAAGCTGAAAATGGAATGCAATGGCTCTAATACAGATAAATACTTTTCTAATATCTAGAACCTCAAGAAGTTATATATTTTAGTTGTATCATAATTTGTTTCCCCCCCCTCAAGAGTATTCAACTGCTGCAGAAATTGACCTACAATGCAAGAGTATTCCATGGCAGTACTAATATCGATGACTTAATTTCATTTCTTATGCACCATATGTAAGTACCTCATAGGATTAAATCTTTATCTCAGTAAGACTACAATTGTATACTTGCTCATCTTGGAGTAAAAACTGCTGAGCTGTTTTCAGGGAGGTAGTTAAGGCATTGGGGCAGCGAGAGAGAAAGGGCAGGTGCATTTTAAGGAACAGAAGACTGTTATACTGAGGATGATAGAACAGGACGACCCAATATTTTCCAGCAGAGGTATATTCATAGAATCATAGAATTGTAGAGTTGGAAGGGACCACGAGGGTCAAATAGTCCAACCCCCTGGAACGCAGGAAACGTTTGCCCAATGTGGGGTGCACATCCACAACTCTGAGATTAAAAGTCTCATGCTCTACCAACTGAGTTAGGAGATGGGAAGATGGGACAGAGGTAGTGTTGGTGGGTAGAGCTGAACTTGCAATAAGCAAGTGAAGAGAGACGAAACTCCCTGCCCTCCTCTCCACTTCCCAGGTGGTTTCATAGAATCATAAAATCATAGAATCTTAGAGTTGGAAGGGACCCAAGGGTCATCTAGTCCAACCCCCTGCAATGCAGGAATCTCAGCTAAAGCATCCATGACAGACGGCTATCCAACCTCTACTCAAAAAACTCCAAGGAAGGAGAGTCCTATGCAGATATTTGCCATACCACTCCTGTTTAGTTTCAGAGGAGAGTTTAATTGGCCACCTTCAGGTCAGTCTCTAAAATGCACTAAAATAAAAGTAGCATATGTATTTGGGCAGCGTAAGAAGACATATAACTTTTGTTTTCAGTAAAATTAATAAAGCTAATTACACTTGGGTTTTCATTCTCTTTAGTGGCTTCTCTTCTGCAAAAAGTGTTAAGTCCTACCACTAAAGTCATTATGACACCAGCAGCTGGATGTGGGTGGGCAAACTGATAAGTGTTTTGAATGGCTTATGCCGCAATCCTGTATACACTAACCTTGGAGTATGTCCTGTTAAACTCAGTGGAGCTTACTTTTGTAGGATTGCACTCTGTGCATAATTATAAAGTGAGCAGCATATAGTTTGATAAATGATAGGTATAAGCATACAGCAATTCCAATGCAGGGATTTACTTGTGTTCTGCATGTGGGATCATTCTACTGATTTGGATAACAAAGTGAAAGTTGCTCTGAGGGGATAACGATTAAATTGAAGGAATCAGTTTTATAAGAAACGAAGTATGGAATTCTAATAAGCATGTTAACAAAGCAGATTGCTTTATTATGGGCTTTTATTTTAGTCAGTCTACAGAAGACGAGTTAACAATACCATGCCTAGGACTTATGGCAAATCTGTGTCGACACAATCTAGCCATTCAAGCACATATTAAGTCATTGGTAAGAAACTTTCTTTATTGAAATCTTTTTGAAGAAAGGGGAGTCTTATCATTTGAGCGTGTGAAACATTAGCACTTTAAGTGAGCAAGTGGGAGTTGATTCTTTCTCTTGATCTTATATAGCAGATGAGCACAACCATTATCTCCAAAGAACATGGAAGAAATTAGAACTTCAAGAAATGGCTTGGTTAATCTGGGGAAATTTCCTTCTGTATTTACATATTTAGCAGAGGTGGTAAAGACATTTCCTGTGTACCTTCAAAACTACAGGACTATAGTCTCATGCTAATGAGCTCAGAGAAAATGATTACACTAATGTGATGCAGAAAAGAAGTCGAGAATTAGGACTTTCCACAGCACTTGGATATGACTCTTGCTTTTGATTATTTTAACAAACACTAGATCTAATTTTGGCCAAGTTCTTCGGTAAAGTTCTTTTATATAGATTTCATATTTCCTCATTCCCCCCCCCCTTTAGTTATGCTAATATTTCTGAAATCCAAATCCTCAAAAAATGAACGCCAATATTTTGCAATCTTTCACAAATGTGTATGAATCTCATTGATTTCAGTGGAAATTTGCATATAAATAACTTCAGAGATGAAGTGTAAACTTTTATTTTCTTGAGTTGGCCATCCTGGATCTCTACTGTCCTTCACACTCTAAAGGTTTCTAAACATAATTCCAAAGTAACATTAAAATAAAACATTAATGCAGTATTGGTTCCAGTGGATATTGGTGAAATGACATGTACATTCCGTGGGAAAGCAATCTTTTAATTAATCTAGTGAAATGGTAAGAAGTAGAATATATTGACTTAGGTAGCAACAGGTTACACTCAAATGCAACTTTTTCTAGGAATGTTTTTTTCTTCTCTTTGTACTAGACAAATGTGAAGAGTTTCTATCGTACTCTGATCAGTTTCTTGGCCCACAGTAGTCTAACAATGGTTGTATTCGCACTTTCAATATTGTCAAGTCTTACATTAAATGAAGAAGTTGGAGAAAAGGTAAGGATGTGTTCTTTTCTTCTTTTAAAGAAATAGCTTTTACTTCAGGCATGTTAATCTTGCCGATAATAATATTTGTGCCAGGATGTGGAATTACACCAGCAACCTGTGCAGATCAAGTAATGCAGGCCTGTTATACTAACTATGCATATCTTTTTTCATCCAATTGAATCATATTTATTGCTATCATATTTCAGGTTTATAGGTTTGCAATGATATAGCTGGGTGTGTGATGGTTCATTATTGTAAATCAGATTTCTTTGTTTAGCTTTTCCATTCCAGAAATATTCATCAGACTTTCCAGTTGATATTCAACATTCTTGTGAATGGTGATGGAACACTAACAAGAAAGTACTCTGTTGATCTTCTCATGGATCTTCTGAAAAATCCCAAGATTGCAGTTTATCTTACCAAGTATGTCTTCAAAATAAACCTAGCTACAAATATTCTTTTGGGGGCTCTCTGTTATTGTTCCTTAATTTGTGTGTCCATTTTTACACGTTTTTCTGTCCTAAGCTCTGTAATCATGTGGCTTTAAAGGTGACAGAAGCTACCGTATTTTTTGTCTCATAGGATGCTCCGTCCCATAGGACGCACGTAGTTTTTTGGGGGGAAATAAAGGAAAAAATTTTCCCCTTTATTTCCCCCCCAAAACCAGGTCAGGGAACATCGGTATGGCGGCGCTCCACCTCCCCGCTGTCCCCCGAGCTTGTGGGGCTGGCACTGAGGAGAAGCACGCTTCTCCCCAACGCCAGCCTCCAAACCAGGTCAAGGAACAGCGGGATGGCGGCGCTCCGCCTCCCCGCTGTCCCCCGAGCTTGTGGGGCTGGCCGATGTCTGCCCGGTGCACGGGGCACTCTGCTTCAGTAAAAGATGATGATGGCCACTGTTTCATTCAGCACCATTTTAGAAGATGTATTCCCTTCTGTTTGTGAAACAGGCCTGCGGAGTGGACATTTTCAATAATCATGCCCTTAGATGTCATTTCTCCCTCCTGCTGCCACTGAGAAAGAGCTGTAGATTATCCAGCTGCTTGACATTTTTGGTGTTAGCATCCATTTTATTCCCAGGAAGATGTGTCAATAAATATCTTTATTCCCTTGCACCAGAATATAATTTTATATCACTCGTGCCCATTCAACACATGTGGAATGTGCTTAGCTATGCCTACATTGTTATCACCTGCTAGATCTGAAATTTCACCATATTGGAATCAACAGAAAATGAAATTATGCTCCTTTTCTCATTTTCAGTCAGTTCCTATAATGCTGTAATCAACAGCAGGTCTCCAGCTGTATTCCAAGAGCAGCAGAATCTAATTTTCAGAATAGATATTTGAAACATGTATGGCTTCCTAAATGGAAAGCAAATAGGTCCCCAGTATTCATACAGGCATGTTTTGCTGAGAGAGAAGTTCCAATTGACTCCTCTCCCATAGTGTTTCTATTCAAAGTGGTCCTTACCAGAACATTGAAATTTTAAGAAGTGGTGTCTTCATTTGTTTGCTTCCCCCACTCCATTCCCCATCCCTTTTTCCTTTTGTATGACATTTTTCTGTTTGTAAGCCTGTAGGCAGGGAGACCTCGTTTTTATCGATCTTGTGTAAGTCTTTTTGGCCGAAGAGCAAGATAAAAATGCTTAAGTGACATCTGTGCATAGAACTGTCATATTTGCATTAGGTTTTATGTCTTGCTTAATTAGAATTGCCTTAATAACATGTAAGAATTTGAACTTATTTAATGTGCTGTGAATTAGACATTGAGATTGACACCCAGACTCAAAGACACTTGTTTGATAATATTGATTTATAGCATTGATATGCTGTGTTTGGGCTATTTTTACTCTTTTAGTTGGTGTATTAGCCCTTGTAGCCAGTCTTTTCTAGCACCACTTACTGTGACTCATTGACATTCTTCAATAGTTAAAGCTACAATATTTAAACTAAAAATGAGTTATGAGCAATACTCAAGAAATTCTCCTTTTGAATGTTGAGTAATGTTTCCAAAATGAAAAATATATTTCAACATTTTTTTTTTCTTTTAACAATGTAGATATGAACATTTTACCTCCTGCGTCACTCAGGTATTGGGTCTCCTTCATGGAAGGGATTCTGATTCTTCAGCAAAGGTACTTTACAGCTAAATATCTTTGTAGTGATACGCCTTAACAGAATCCAAATACTGAGCATTCTTACATCCATCCTTAACTTTAAGTAAATGCCTTGAAATATGGTGAAATACACTAATGTTGATACCTACATATTTTGGGCAGCTAGGCTTGTATGGATCATGTTGTGCTTTCTATTACAATAAGATTAAACTTTACTTACAAGCCAAGTAAGCCACAACATTATATGACTGAGTGTGTGTATTCAAATAAAACAGTTTGCAGATTGTGTAGAAAGTTACATCCTCATGTGAGGAAAATGTGTGTGTTTGAACTGTGGCTGTGAGGTTTATGCTCTGTTCAGTTCCTTCATATTTTGTGAACACTATTTCCACCATGCTTTTGTATAAGATCTCCCTGATACAGGCGCTGACTGACCGTAGGTCTGTGGAAAACCACAAACTTTACATGCAGAAAGTTCAGGCCCTGTCATCTCCTTTTAAAGTATCCCTGAGGGCAAAAGCGAGAGAACTGTAAACATTTGACATTTGCAGGCTGAATGGATCAGTGGTGTTTTTCCAGTATAATACAGACTTGTATATAGGAGGTCAGATTTTTGGCAGGTCCTTTATAGTTGTAACATGGGTAAAACAAACAGTTTATTTGTGTGTCGAAACTTTCCATTACTGTAATCTGAAAGACAGTCATTTCTGCTTAGGTGTTGGAGTTGCTACTTTCCTTCTGTTCGGTAACGGAACTCCGTCACATCTTGCGTCAGGCAATATTGGAGCCAAATAAGGCAAGCTGTGGAAGCACAAGACTTGCAACTCGATCTAAGCCTTCAGAGCCATCTGTCCTCTTAGTACATTGGTCAAACCAACCGCTAGAAGCATCCGAAAACTGCTCAGCTCTTGCGTTGCAGCTGTTCAGGGAGATATTTGAGGTACCGACTTCTTTTACAATTGGCTTCAAATGTCTTCTCAGCGAGCCAGTCCATTCAATGTGAAAATGAGGCACTTGCTCCAGCCTCATAGCTGTGCCACACACATCCCAATAAGAAACAACTTGCTTCACTTTTAGCCTTGTCATTTGGTAATATCGTTAAGCCCTTAGCTAGTTTTGTTGCTGGTAACTGTATATGAAAATAGCAAATGAAGCCAATGCAAAATAGTTCTTATATTTTATAAACAATATCCCAAAAGGTTCATATTTAACTTTTTTTAAAAAAAATACATGTTGCCTTTTGGCCACTCCCATTGGGTTATTGCTAGCCATTTGCATGTTTTTGCAAATCAATGGAAATTTGGGGTAAACTACCTCTATCTAGTGTTTGAGGGGGCAGTCTTTACACCTGGTGTTCTGTAAGTATATTTGCCTCATCTTGGCTCAGGGTGTTTTCATGAGTAGCCAGGTTAGGACTCCTCTTCATCAGCCTGGTGCCCATATCACTTCCTTGATAAGGAAGTGAAGTCTGATGTTTCTCCCCATGGGGTGGAAAGGAACAGTATGGAATAATTGTTTTTAAAGGAAGAGAGAGAAGATGTACATGGATCCTCCAACCTTTCTTTTCCCTTGATCTTAAGCCTCTGCTTAACAAGGCTTATGCGTCTTGTAATAAAATGTCTGCCACCTATAGTTTTTGCAAGTTCTTAAGCTTACAGTATAAAGACCAACAGTAGTGCACTTGCCACTGCAAAATAGTGTACAGTGGTGCCTCGCAAGACGAAATTAATTCGTTCCGCAAGTTCTTTCTTCTTGCGAGTTTTTCGTCTTGCGAAGCACGGTTTCCCATAGGAATGCATTGAAAATCAATTAATGCGTTCCTAGGGAAACCGCTTGCCAGGCTGGCGGTGCGGAGAAGGGCTTTTCTCCGCACCGCAAGCCTTCAGGACAGGTACGGGAACAGAGGGGAAGGCGCGCAGCGCTTCTCCTCTGTTCCCGGGGCTTGCGTGGGAGGAGGGTTTTTCCTCCCCACCGCCAACATTCAGAACAGCATTCTGAATGTTGGCGGTGGGAAGGAAAACCCTCCTCCCACCCCAAAGTCTTCAGGACAGCCATCCGATGCCGGGCTGCGGGAGGAGGCGTTCCCCCCCCCCCGCCCGGCATTGGAGCTTCGTTCCGATGTCCGGCGGCGGGAGGAGACGTTCCCCCCCCCGCCGGACATCGGAGCTTCGTTCTGATGTCCGTTGGAGGGAGGAGACGTTCCCCCCCCCCGCCGGACATCGGAGCTTCGTTCCGATGTCCGGCGGCGGGAGGAGACGTTTCGTCCCCCCCCCCGCCGGACATCGGAGCTTCGTTCCGATGTCCGTTGGAGGGAGGAGACGTCCCCCCCCCGCCGGACATCGGAGCTTCGTTCCGATGTCCGTTGGAGGGAGGAGACGTCCCCCCCCCCGCCGGACATCGGAGCTTCGTTCCGATGTCCGTTGGAGGGAGGAGACATTCCCCCCCCGCCGGACATCGGAGCTTCGTTCCGATGTCCGTTGGAGGGAGGAGATGTGTCCCCCCGCCGGACATCGGAGCTTCGTTCCGATGTCCGTTGGAGGGAGGAGACGTCCCCCCCCCCCCCGCCGGACATCGGAGCTTCGTTCCGATGTCCGTTGGAGGGAGGAGACGTTCCCCCCCCCCCTGCCGGACATCGGAGCTTCGTTCCGATGTCCGTTGGAGGGAGGAGACGTCCCCCCCCCCCGCCGGACATCGGAGCTTCGTTCCGATGTCCGTTGGAGGGAGGAGACGTTCCCCCCCCGCCGGACATCGGAGCTTCGTTCCGATGTCCGGCGGCGGGAGGAAGTCCGAGGACAGTGGGGAAGACGCGCTGCGCTTCCCCGCTGTCCCGGAGATTTCCCTATGGGCTGTCGTCTTGCGAAGCAAGCCCATAGGGAAATTCGTTTTGCGAAGCGCCTCCAAAACGGAAAACCCTTTCGTCTAGCGGGTTTTCCGTCTTGCGAGGCGTTCGTCTTGCGGGGTACCACTGTAGTTAAGTTTCATCAGATTGGACTGAAATATGTTTCAGAATCTATCTTCTGTGAGAGAGAAAAGTAATCATGGGAATGGTATGTTTCATGGACCTTGAGATGAAGACTGAGTGGCTTTGGACTTAGAAAGCAGATTTGAGGAGGGGGTAGTATATATTATTTATCAGTTACCTGGGTACCAACAAGCATGTCATTCTTCTACTACAGGATGTTATTGATACAGGCTGCAGTGCTGCAGCTGAGCGCTTTGTGGATCTTCTTCTTCCTGTTCTTCTTGACCATATTCATTTGCCGGATCATGTCTTAGAAGACCTGTTGGCAAAGAAGAAGTGTGAAAGAATGATCGGGGCTGTTGATATCTTGAGAAATATCCTTGATCCACGTTCTCTTTTTTTTTTATCATGAGCTTACCGTGAAACTATACTCAGTAGTCTGTAAAATATATGAAATGGATTTGATCTAAATAATACTTTAAACCCAAGACTTTGGTTAAAGAGGCAAACTATAGAAAAGGTTGCTCTTAAAATGGTTCAGGATAAAATATGGTGTCTATGCATTATATTTTGTAACTGGAATACAATGTAACGGTTAAAAGGGACTTTAGAAAGGTGATACATGTTTGAACAGTGTTTGTTAAAGACTGCTTTACAGTTTACACAAAAGATTCATTTTCTGCACAAAGCTAGCATTTGTCATGACAAACATAAGTGTGAAGAGTCATGTGTCTAAATATGTGAAGGGAATGTTCGGAAATCAAACAGTTGCACTTCTTGAATATGTATTTTCTGTGTTTTACGCATTTTCCTTTCATTATAGGAAATGTACATCCAGAAAAATATGAACCAAAAAGTGCCCTGAATTTCATGTGTGCATTAATGATTATATGATCAGAGTTTTTCTGGCATTTAGACAGAAATCAAGATCGATTAGACTAGCTTAGAGCTGCAAATTTCTGTTTGGCTTATTTATTTATTTTTAAATACATAATAGTTATCCAGTCTCTAAATTGTTGAAAAGTAATTAAGGAATAGCATCAGCCCTTATGAACACTACTTGGAGACTCCTAGTAAAGTACAAATGTTCTCCTGCTAAATATTTCCTTCTGTAAAAAAAAAAAAAATTCTTTCATTAGTCAGTTTTATCCTTAACAGAACCTACCGCTTTGTGCAGATGATACGCTAAAAATGCATGTTACTAAGGCTCTAACAGCTAACAACTGTACATCTTTAATTGAATACCACTTTACATGCAGTGGGATTGACTTCGGCTTTGGGACAAAGGTAATGGACTCTGAACTGAGGTAAGCACCTTTTGCTTAAAAACCCTTGGACCAATCCCATAGGTTCAGTCTTCTTAAGGATACACTTACATTATCTTTCTTTAGGGGGAAAAATAGCCCAAACATATAGATTTTGTTCATTTACAACACCAAGCCACGTGTAAGCTACAACAAGCTTGAGCAAAGCCTCAGGTTCATGCAGTTCGCTTCCCCTTTTGCCCCTCCTGCGGTCAAGTTCTGCAACTTTTATTTTCACTTTCTGCAAATCTTGACTGCTCATGTCCTACAGACAGCAGACCATGTTTTAATACAAACTGTCATCAATTTCAAAAGGAACCAGCTTCAAACCCTGGGTTATGTTGCTGGCTTTTTAAAACCACTAATTTAGTAAAATACAACCAGCCAGGATCCAATGAAAATAAAAGTAAACACTGCAGAAGGCCTGGCTGCATGAGAGGGGAAGTGAGCATGCCTGGTGGCTTAACACTGACTGTTGTTGAGCCCTAGCAGCTGGCAAGATATCCTTGCCAGCTTACACTGAAATTGAAGGCCTTCATTTTAATTACAATATTCTGAAGTTTCTATTTATATGGATATGCATTTGAAAGGAATAAAGGTGTTCAAGTTTTCCATTTATACATAATTTTAAACAGGCAAATAGGGTGGGGTGGGGGAATGTTATAAGCATCATCACAGTAATACTGTGTCACAGCAGGCCTCTTTCAATTAAGAAAAGAACTCAAGACATCTTGGTATGCAAGGCAGATTGACTATTACATATGCAATGTTTGATTTAACCTCCAAGGGCAAAAGCTATGTAAATGAAAGACCCAGTGTCAGAGCAAAGAGCAGTGTAAGATATAAATAGCTGGTTCAAAGTTTCACAAAAGATAATCTGTTTGTTACTTTTTTGGTTTTTTGCATTTCAGTTTTAAAAAACAAACAAAAGTAGTTTTATTAAAAAAATATATTTTATTGTTACAAAATTGTACACACACAAATCATAAAGCATGACATGACTCAAAAATGGGTCACGGCGGGGTGGGGGAGATACGAAACATTATTTTACACTACATAATAATGAGGTGATAACAGTAAACCAGTGAAATGAACTTGGAGAACACAGAGTAATAGGAGTGAGCTAATGAGAACTGCCTGCTTATCTAGGCCATATTGCAAAATACGTTGTGAGTATTTCTTGTCTGTGTGCTGTTTCATTTGTATACAATAAGCCCACAGTTTACACAGGGATTACAGTATTTTTCGCCCTATAGGACACACTTTCCCCCCTCCAAAAATGAAGGGGAAATGTGTGTGCGTCCTATGGGGCAAATGCAGGCTTTTGCTGAAGCCTGGAGAGCGAGAGGCGCACTGACCCCTCTCGCTCTCCAGGCTTCAGGAAGCTATCCGCAAGCCTTGCGCGCCCGGCGGGAGGTCCTGCCGGGCTCGCAAGGCTTGCGGGCAGCAGCCCGAAGCACGGGGCGTGCTGCGGAGCACGCCCCGTGCTTTGGGCAGATGTCCGCAAGCCTCGCGCGCCCGGCGGGAGGTCCTGGCGGGCGCGCTAGGCTTGGGGCAGCAGCCTGTTCTGGGGTCGGGGGAAGCTCGGGCTTCCCCCACGCCAGCCCCGCGCCTGGGGGGGAAATAATTTTTTCCCTTTATTTCCCCCCCCCAAAAAAACTAGGTGCGTCCTATGGGGCGAAAAATACGGTACCTTCCAGCAATCATGCCTAGAGCCAAAATCTCATGTAGTCAAAACACATTGGGTTCAGTGGCAGGTGGGATTGCCAGAGCCTTTTTCCTGGATGCCCACCCCCTTTTAATTTTTTGCCAAGCACATAAAGCTGAATGTGCCCAAGTTAAATGTGAGTAAGTTGTGGGCTTACTGTATTTAATAAAATCACACAATACAGTATGGAAATAATCTTGCTTTTTTCTCTCCTTTTGGCACTATTGATTTTTGCAACAGCTTGCCCATTATGGCTGTTTTCCAGACTATATTATACCAGTGATCAATATTCATTAATTGCAAGGATTCCCAAGTTCTGGCTATAACTTTTCTAGCTGCTGTTAATAAATTTGTTCTTAATTCCTTGCTTCTTACTTGGTCCATATTCTGAAGTATACAAATTAAGTAAGGCTTTATTGGGATTTTCTGAGCTGTAATCTGAGATATCTCTTTTGAAACTTCTAAAATTGTTCTATTTGTGAACATTCCCACCACATATGTTAGTATGTGCCTATAATTTGGCATCCTCTCCAACATAACAGAGAACGATTGGATCCTTTTACTGGATGACATCAATTCTACCATATGGCTAAGTTGGCTTGCTTCATAGGTAGTTTTAATAATTCTAATCATTTTTTGATTCATCAGGTGGGCAGAACTCTGCAATGTAGCCAATCACAGTGGAGCTCACTGTCAGTGTTGATCAATGAGCCCCACTTGCAAAGGAATAATCTGAAGCTCTTAAAGCTTCTAATTGTTCCTTTGAAGACATGTCCTTATCTGCCCCATATCAGATGTCAGGTTTGGGGTAGGTGGCTACAGTGTTGATGTGACATGCTAGTCATTGCTGGAATTTATGGTGTACAGTAACTTTTCTTTTAATTCTCACCTTTTTTTCAGCAAGCTTGCTGCTGATGCAATCTTAAAAACACTGGATCTTATGAGCAAGCTTAAGCAGCTAGTTTCTAACATGGAAGTCAACTTTTACAAAGTTCTTCAGGTAAGGTTTATTTGATCATTTAAATGCCTGTTAAGATAGACAGTGTACATAATTATGTCCATTCTGTGGTAGTGACTAACAGTATCTACAGACAACATACTAGCTGCCATTCTTCAAATACTTACCTTTTCCATCATAGCCAGACTGCAACCTTTTTAAGAAGTGCATGGCAGTGTTTTGAATCCAAAGGTGCCTTGTATGCATAGAAATGGCCTCTACCTCCAAACTCTCCCAATTCCCTGCTTTCTTCTGTCCTGTTCTAAAGGGTCACTTAACCTTTAGGAGCTTTTGTGGGTGCAAGAAGGGAGGGGCCAGGAAAGCCCCACTATATAAGTGGAGTTTTGCTCACACTTCCCTTGATTCAACATAATTGTTGCAATTTAATTTTAGTGCAGTTTCATTTTTAGAAGAGTATTGCCTATAGCACGGGGTATGCTTTTATTCATTCAATCAATCAATCAATCAATCCATAGATCTCAGGGCAGTTTACAGCATAAAAATACAAGATATAAACACAAGATAGATCATAAAACCAAGGGCAAAAAAAATCCCACAAACCAATAACCCCTCCCACAGAAACATTTTAAAGGGTCTAGGGTGTTAATCATCCAAAGGCCTGGTTGCAGAGTGTAGTTGTACAGTGGCAGCATTTGAGATCTTCCAATAGAATTGAGCAGATCTGATTACTTTCCACATCTTCTGCTTCAACTCAAAATATCCCAGAGGAGGCATTAAAGGTTGAATGAAAGAATGCTTCATTAAGAATGCAACAGATAAAGTGAACGTGTTTATCACTTGTTTTTCCTTCTTGTGTAATATATTTGTCTAGTTGCTTAAAATAATTGCTTATCTGCACTCACAAGTGGTTTGTGTCTAGGACCAACGTTTGGTTACACCTTTGGCTTTTGCTTTAACATCAGACCACAGAGAGCAAGTGCAGGCAGGACTTAGAATTCTGTTTGAAGCAGCACCATTGCCAGATTTTCCTGCCATAGAGTGAGTTTCTTATTCTTCATATTTTTAAAAATTGTTTTGTGTTAAAAGTTTACTCTGGGCTTTTGTTGTCAGTTCTTTGATCCTGCTTCATTAAAAAGCTGTTTATATTTTATTTGCAATTCCTTCCTGCTGATTTAATCTTATATGTGTTTTTCATATAGGCTTGGTGAAAGTATTGCGGCCAATAACTCTTACAGACAACAGGAAGCAGAGCACGCATCTAAAAGGAACCACATGCAAGCATCCATTACCTGTGTTAACCCAATGAAATGTTCTGCTGCTTGTGCTCCAAATGACGATGTTGCAACTTTCAACATTCAGGACCTGATACAGAAACTCCAGTCTAGCCTGGAGGTTAATGGCTTTAAGATACATCTTTTGAATAAAAGCAGCTTTGTCCTGGCATATGTAAAATCCAAAACAGTCTGTTCCGATCGGATTTTTCAGGCTTCTGAAGTCTGACTAGTTTCTATAGAAAGCTTTGCACAAAGGCATGATAGAGACAGTACAAGCCCAAACTGTTACAAAGTAGTAGGTTCCATATGGGATCTGAACCCACAATGACCATGGATTAGGCCAAGCTCCACTGAACTCACGAAAGCCTATTGGCAAGTAGATTAAGTACATAACGTGTAACGGGACACTTCTGAACAGAAGCGTTCAAGATAGAGTAACTTGAAATGAATGCTTTCTGTAGCAGCCATCAGTATGTCACAAACTAAAAATTAAATTATGTGGTCAGTATTCACCTAATGAGTCCCAGCAGAAGCCCTGCACAAAGACTTTGATTTTCGCAACAGGGCTCCCCCCTCCCCCAAATTGGCCTTGGTGGTGGGGCATTAGGAGAACACCTGGAACAATGCAGAGGGGGAGGAGAGGGAAAATTTTTCCATTAGGCAAGCTGAATTGCTTGCACAAAGCAAATGTTCATCATAGTGTGACGCTGAATTCTACCATAATTTTGTTTGAAGTGTAAATTGCTTAAGATCATGGAGAATTAGTTGAATGAAATGTCAGTATATTTATATTCTGTTCAATCAAAAATTTATTGTAGTAACCAAAGGCCATAACAATCCCAACCACCACAATTTGCCACACTGAAAATTATAGCATACGGTATACAATAATTACATAAAGTAAGTGATCAATGATTTGAAGAAAGGCAGTCAGAATTTATAAAAAAAGTCTGTTAGCTTATACCTAGCTTAACTTCTGTTAGACCTCTGAATCTCCCACACAACTTATTGCAATACTGTCTAGCCCTCTCTTGCAGCCAGAGCATAAAGCACAAATATATTTATATAGATTCTATATAAATCCTTTAACACTTTATATTACTGTTTTGTTAATACAGGGATGATAACCAATGTTATCTGCCAATATAGTAGTCATTTTTTGTTGCTTTTGTTGAGCTTTTCATTTGTCCAAGTAGGAAAGATTCTGTCATAGCTTATGCTATTAACATTTTCCACAGGTGAAAGAATCAGCCACTGATGTAAGGGTGTCTGACATAATGGATGTGTATGAGCAGAAACTGTCTGCATTAGCAGTGAGTACATGTTTAATATGCACAATTTTTCATCTGATTGCTTTGTCCATACCTGTATTTCAATTTACTTTTGCTTCTGGTTTTTCTTTTAGTCCAAAGAAACTAGATTGCAAGACCTTTTGGAAGCAAAGGCTTTAGCACTTGCTCAAGCTGATAGACTTATTGCCCAGTACCGTTGCCAGAGAGCTCAAGCTGAGTCAGAGGTATGTAAAGCAAACATTTGCACAGGAATTAATTTGCTGTCTGCTCATAGTTACCACTGCAAGCTTGTTGTACATCAGCAGTATGCCTTGTTTTTGAAAACTAGGTTATACTTACTTGGGGGGTGGGGGTGGAATCAATACTGATATTAAATTTTTGCATAACTGCAATCCTTTTGCAGTCCACAATACTTGATGTTTCTAAAGCCTTAGAATTTTAACATTTATCCAGTTTAAGAATAGATTGGTGCCCTTCAGAAGTTACTGATGGAATGTAGACTTCTCATTGACCAGATAGTGTTCCTTAAGTGAGCTATGGAATGGAGCAGCAAACATAAGCCACTAGTAAAATACATTCTCCTTGTCTTTCCAAAAGGCTAGAACGCTTGCTTCGATGTTGAAGGAAACTGAACGAAAAAATGAAGAACTTGAGTCATTGTTGAAAGCACAGCAAGTAGAATCTGAACGGGCACAGAGTGATATTGAACAGCTCTTTGAACACAATAGGAAGCTACAGACAATAGCAGAGGAACATGAGATACTGAAAAGATCTTCCATTGACCTTCTTCAAAAGTAAGATGTTAAGCTACCTTGAAAAATGTGTGAAGAAATGAGTCTTTGAAGCAAAACAACAAAAACCCCACAACCTTATGTACTTGATGATTATACAAATATGCACATTTTCCAAAATTGATATGTGTGAGGCTTGCAAAAGTTGTAGTGGTTGTTGCAGGGATGGAGGTGGGCATCTGGTAGATGCCAAACCAAAACCACAGTATCCAACAGTAGGAATTCAGGGCATGGGTTTCAGAGCACACAACATGGGATCAAGTCTGGTGCACAGTCAGTCTTGGGGGGACGGGACACTTTCCCTTCAGAGAAGGGGCTTGGTGTTTATAACCACTTCTTATTCTAGAAACAGCAGGTAATGCCTATGAGCCATGACCTGTGGTTTTGAGAATTTAGGCCTTAGTTGTAAGATGTGAATGTGATTTTTGATGTAAGACTTCACACGTATGGATAGAAGTTTTTCTCATAAGATTAGATTATTCAGATTGATCTATATATTCAGGGCAGCTTGCAGAATTAGGTGGCAACAGTTGATCTCGGCTAGGACTTATTTTGGTAATTCCTGTCCTTGCTTGCTTGCAACTCTCTCATAGGGAACTATGATGAAATGGAGCCACCGAGAAACAAGAGAGAGGTATCAGCATAGAAGCATCGGCAGGGGGGGAGGGGATACTAGGAAGGTGCAAATTCTTCTCCACACCAATCAGCCCAGGAAGGCTAAGTTTTCCCAGCAGTGTCTGAATGCAAAGTGTCAGTTTGAGAATGGAAATGGAAAAATTGTGGTGTGGGATGAAATATCCAGGCTGCCCAGAGCACAGGAAAAAGAGCACTTCTATTAGGAGGTGAGACTATGTTGCAACATCTTCTTGCAGCTTTAACCTCTATAGAACTGGCATCTCAAATTAGGTTCTGCAGTCTTTACCCCTCTTCAGATATGTAGAGGGCTAGGGACATGGATTCCAGCTCTGCTTCTCCACTGCTGAACACCTGAACAGGACTTGTCGAAAGCAGGTTTGTGTGTTGACATTTGGGCACAACTGCCAGAAAATAAGCTAGTCCTTGGTGATGAAATTGAAATTAATTTCACTGGGGACAAATGTAAGGTTAAGCAGGAATATGTAAGCAATGAGAATCAGATGCACAAGTAAAGGATGGGGGAGGGGGGACACCTGGCTTGACAACAGCACATAAAGGATCTAGGGGTTAGCAGACCACAGGCTTAACACGTGTCAACAGTGTGATACAGCAGCAAAAAGCCTATGACAATTCTAGACTGCATCAACAGAAGTAGAGTGTCCAGATCAAAGGAATAATAGTACTACTCTATTCTGCTTTGGTCAGATCCTATCTGGAGTACTGTGTCCACTTCTGGGCACCATACTTTAAAAGGGACATTGGCAAGCTGAAACCTGTGCAAAAGAGGGTGCCTACAATGATCAAGAGTCTGGAAACCAAGCCTTATGAGGAACAGTTAAGGGAGTTGGGCATGTTTAGCCTGGAGAAGAGAAACTGAGAGGTGATATGATAGCCATCTTCGAATATCTGAAGGGCTGTCACATGCTACTCCAGAGGACGGGATCTGAACCAATGCTTTCAAATTGCCAGAAATGAGATTCTGACTGAACATTAATAAGAACTTTCCTTCATTGGAGGCTTTTAATCAGAGGTTGGTTGGATGGCCATCTGTTAGGGGTTCTTTAGCTATGTGTTACAATTAAGTGTTTTAAATTTGTTGTTAGCTGCCCTGAGCCCAGTTTTCTGAACCGGGAAGGGTGGGGTATAAATAAAATTTTATTCTTATTCTTGCATTGCAGAGGGTTGAACTAGATGACCCTTCCAAATCTCCAATTCTACGACTTTTTCATACTAACTAGGTATCTTTTTGCTGTATATACATGGAAAATTAGCAGTAGCTCCTAGGCCATGAATTGCCTTTTAGCATAACCGCGAAAATCTGTGATCATGATTCAGTATAACCCCCTCTTTTAAGGCTTATACTGAAAGCTGCACATCTGTCAACACACCTGTGAGCAAATACAGTAATTTTGAAAGTAGGAACTTTGGCACATGTTACTAGAACACATTTAGGAAAAGCGCTTCAAATTAATTATGTTTAATAATAATATTTTCCTTTTTTTAGGCATGAAACCATTGAAAAACAATATAACGACCTGCAGCTAATGTGTAATTCTCTGAACAAACAACTTGAGACCATTAAAAGGCAGAATGAATCTCTCAAGCAACAGAACGACAAGTAAGTTCAGTTCTTTCCTTAAGTTAAAAGGATGCTATGTTTCAATGAAAACCTTCATTTTTAATCAAAACTGCTTCAAGTGGGGTTTTTTTTTTTAACATACTTGGAAATATTCTGAAGTGTATTATGATTTGTTTGCAGTTTTTCAAAGGGTTTGTATGCTGCCTTTCCATGCACAGAACAATCATGAAGATGATAATCAAGCAGGTTCATATAGTTGTGTAGTAAAAGTGAAACTATTGTTTATGGCTTTTGTGGGTTTGGGGGTTTTTTTATTTAATTAAGCTTAATCTCTGGTGTAATTCGTTGCAGATCATTTTGAATCTGTGTCAACTGCACAACTTGAAGTTGTTTGACACTTCTGACCAAGACTTTCAACTTCTCACTTCACCCATTTCCCACATTCACAAAAGCTTTCAAAACTGTGGAAGGGCAAGAATGTTTCATTTTCCTTCTGACTATATTTATATATGAATAGTAAAAATTAATACAGCTCTTCCAACAAACTCAACAATGCAAGATAGTCCAGTTATTTGCCTTTAGAACTACATAAAATAAAATGATTTGGCTCCTGAGTGCTGCGAACTGAAGGAAACTTGCAAACTGGGACATTCCTGTCCGCTCCTTGTCACCACCTTCTGAAGTCTTTCTGGGGGCCCCTCCTGAACAGCGTGGAATGGAGTATTGGGGGGGGAGGGACATGGTTGAGCGTGGTTCAGCATGGAAAGCTAGCATACAAACAAAACTGTTGATGATGGTTTGGGTCTACATTAGAGATACAATTCTGCTGGAAATCAGAATAGTACATTGCAGGCATCCCCCCACTTGTTTGCTACTATGTATACGCGTGGTACTGGGAAAAAGTTAAAAGAATTAAATTCAAACCCAGAAATGGCTGGAGACAGTTGGAAAGTCCTTGTGGCTTTCAAGGAGACCCTTCTGTGAGCGTCGAGAAGAGACTGGAGGCATAGCTGTTGCATGCAGCAGCAGCTTTCTCACATGTCTTCCAGCCAGTCCCAGAGCTTCGATTCCAGTTGTGGATATTTTTGGTACAGTACAGTGGTACCTTGGGTTAAGAACTTAATTCGTTCTGGAGGTCCGTTCTTAACCTGAAACTGTTCTTAACCTGAAGCTCCACTTTAGCTAATGGGGCCTCCTGCTGCCGCTGCACAATTTCTGTTCTCATCCTGAAGCAAAGTTCTTAACCCGAAGTACTATTTCTGGGTTAGCAGAGTCTGTAACCTGAAGCGTCTGTAACCCGAGGTACCACTGTATTTTTTTATTTTGGGAGAGTAGTATTTTGGAGAGAAAGCGGCTGAGAGGGCATTTAGAGGGTACTTCCTTACTTATGTGATTTTCACTTATGCACATGGGTCACTCGAACATAAACCCCGGAACATAACCCACTTTGGGAATTACGTGTAAGAGTTTCGTAAAGAGGATGCAGGGTGAAAATCAGGTATACCTTCACCTCTCCATTCTAAGGCAGCAAATTCACATTGCTCCATCTCTCTATCTGATAAATTATATATATTTCCTGGCTCCTGTCCAAACAAACGAGAATTGAAACCATGTGTTCATATAGGTATCTCAGAATTAGACTCATTTAACATTTTCTTAAATGATTATTGGGTGGGAAATGCCAGTTGACGTTCATGGTGGTGATGGGTAGGAGAATGCCTTGTTCTTGTTTTCAGTTAAATAGAGAGATAAGATCTGTGGTTATCTTGTGTGAGTTTCAAATACATAGCGTCTGAATGTTAAGTAAGATATATATATTAAAAATCAATCTACAGGGATGTTGTAAGTACAATTAAATTAAAAATAGTATCTTCCCTGTTTTCACATAGGAAGTTCTAATGCTCGGTATGTTGTTTGCAAATGTCTGTGGTGGGTGTTTTGTTTTGTTTGTACTTTGCTTTATTTATGTCCCTTTTCTGCAATTGACAATGTGGAGGAATACTATTTGGTTTACAATAGATACGGAAATAATGAAATGCAGGAAGAAATAAAGTTGAAAAATTCATTTGACTTTCTTAGTAATCACACTGAACGATAGGCAAATGTTGCTGTAATATGACACTAATCATAAGGGGAGCGATTTTCTCATGTTTCTTCCATTGGAAGATCTTTAATGTTTGTATCCTTCTATTTTTCAGAACTGTCAGTCAGTTGCTAGAAACAGAAGAGCATAGAAAAGAATTGCACAAACATTTGCAAGAGAAAGATGGGAAAATATCAAGTAAGTTAGTTCTGACTTCTATTAGCTTCATCAGGAGTCTGGCTTTATAGAGAAAACCTGGAACATGTTTTTCTCCAGCTATGCTACATTTGAACCATCTTTAAATACACAGACCTACCTCTTATTTCAATAGATTGGGTGATCCTATCATTTTTGCTTGGGAGTTTGCAATTACAGCTCTGTAGCACTATGATACTATTACTTTACCCAATTTCCTTTGCTCGCTCTGGGATTTGCTAATGTTTGAAGAATAGCATGTTCTCTCATTTAGACCCAGATTCAAACTCTCAAAATAAACCACCAAATATGCAAGTGTAGCATGCCTCTAATGGCTCGTGGGTATTTTCTGCTGCTTCTTTGGGAAACTCCCATTAATCATCACAGTCACCTTATTGGTGCACAGTCACAAGCACAGGTTTGTACAGATGTCACAACTACTTTCTTCATTTGGCCTGAGAACAGTATGTCCCTGCTCGCAGTCTACGAAACAGCAGTAACCATTGTGGTGGTTGTTTACTGGTCATAAGGTGGTCATGTTGTAGCTACAGTAACCTGTTAGGTGCAAGCAGCTTCCATTGTGTGTTCAGAGTAAATTATGTTTGTTTAAAAAAGCACAGGTGACACATTATATATATTTTTTAAAAGCTAAATATACTTTAATGGGGGAAAGCTCTGTGTTACCCCTTTGAACTCAATTGTCTCAACTGAAAGATGTATATCTGCTTAGGCAGGCAATCACTTAACTCTGGAGCACAAAATATTAGCATTTGCTCAGTAGATGGCACTGTGGTGTAACTCTTTCAGTGGTCGCTTTAGAGAAGTTTTGTAAATTGGCAAAAAGAAAAACTCAAACTTCTTTCTTTCACAAATTCTTCAAAAGATTTGCAACAGAAGGTAAAGATTCAGGAAGAAAAACTTAAAGCCAGGCAGAAGGAAAAATCAGATATGGAGGAGACTGTAGACATCCTTAGAAAGGAATTGAGTAAAACGGAACAAGCAAGAAAAGAATTGAGCATTAAGGTAAGCTTTCTGCTGGAGTTTGTCATTTTAGAAAAATTCTAATGGTATCAAGGAATTAGTTTTTAAAGTTGCAAAGAAATATTTCTGTCTAAGTGGAGTAGGTGGTGGCTGCAATGCTGTTTTTGCTTACCTGGGAGTAAACCTCATTGAACTCAATAAGACAAGCTTCTGCATAGTCATATGTAGGATGGGAAGGATTGAGGTGTTGGGAAACTGGTGGTGCAGAAGTTGTGGATTACCATTCCCATCATCTCTGACCATTAGCTATGCTGGTTGAGGCCTGATGGGTCATTTTATCACTGACCCTTCTGTGCAGAGCAATGGTGTTTCCAATTCTGAACCCATAGTGTAAAGATAATAAGGCCTTACTATTTTCATAGTGGGGAGGGACAGTAATACAGCCTGTAGTTTAACATATTCTAGTAAATCTTCCTCAACTTGCTGGCCAATGAATCGCCAAAACCTTCTGTCTCGCAGATTGTGTTCCCTGCTATGTACATTCTGTCCCTCTCCTACCAAGTCCACTGCATCCTCTGCTTTCTGAACTCTCCCTTTCCTGTTCATGGCATTGTACACCCTTGTGTATCCCCTTTTGTGGTCTCTCTTTGTGATCTACTGACAGATAGATATGCACACCTTGTCAGCATCTTCTGACAGTCAGTTTTGTCACTAGTTCTGGTCACATGAGGCACGTCTCGTGTCCTCCAGCTTTTCCCTCATCTCATGTGTGGAATCAGCTGAGTATGGTGATTTTTTTCTGACCAGCAATTTATTGTTTGCTCTGGACTTGCAACCACCAGCTGCTACCAGACTCTTTCTGAAGCATCACACTATTCTCTCTGCACTATGATTCATAAATTATTTCCTACTTCCATCGTGCAACAGTCTCTAGGGCAGTTGTTACCCCAAAATATAATTAGCATGAACCACGGTTTCCAAAACCTCATCTCAAAGCTTGGTTTGATTCCAATTTTCTGTCCAGTCATAACCCATGGATTGTCCATTTAGGTACCAAACCAATAAAGTTTCCTTAACTGTTCTTTGTTGTGATGTATGGATTCACCCAATTTACTAGATGGCAAATATGTATTTTGGAGAAATATGATTGAATAGTATCTTAATATACGACTTTAGGCATCTTCCTTGGAAGTTCAGAAGTCACAGCTGGAAGGACGACTGGAAGAAAAGGAAGCTTTGGTCAAAGTCCAACAGGAAGAGCTAAACAAACATTCTCATATGATAGCAATGATCCATAGCTTAAGTGGTGGCAAACTAAATGCAGAGGCTGTGAATCTCAGTTTATAGAATTTGGTTATCTGGTGCTGCGTTTCACAGGCCAACCAAAACTTAATGCAAGCCTCAAGTATTGTTACATATAGAAAAAAAGAAGAAAACTTTTTACTGGATGCAAGCTAACTTCTGCTCATGTTGACACTAATGTCCGCATAGCAATCAGCTGCTGTGGGGGCCCTGATTTTGAAATAAATTATTTGAGATAATTTTGATACACATACTGTCACTGATAATAAGAGTTGGGTTAGGGTAGGTGATGTTGCACTTTTAGGCAAATTTCCAAGTATGAATTTTAGTCTCTTTTAAAACCCGTGTATATAAAACCTAATTGACTAACATACACACCCAGAGATTAGAAGGAAAATGTATAAAACCTTGATTTAGGTGTTTAAAGTAATGCATAGATTTTAAATTACTACAATGTATTAAATGAATTGTGAAAACAGAAATGTCTTAGCCCTGTTAGCATGTGGCTCCAAAATTCTGTACTATTAATTTATAGTTTCTAGGAATTAGTAAATATGTGAGTATATATATTAAGCTTTGTTTTATTTTCCAGTGTTAAATGTTAGTTCCGCTCACTTTCAATTCTTTAGATTTCTGAAAATATTTGTCATTTTTATCTAGAGATCACGCTTGGTTGCTGTTAATTTTTCTTCATATAATTCCTCTCTACACTTCAGAATATTTATATAGCTATATTTTGCTACATTTAGAAAAAGAGCTTATATATTTTCAAGCACTGCCTGAATATTTTTAAATATAGCCATATTTTGCTACATTTAGAAAAAGAGTTTACATTTTCAAGCACTGCCTGAGTATTTTAAAAGTAATTAACTTTAATGGGAATACAGTATACATTTTATATTTAACTTAGTATGTGAAGGCACAGGCATGTATTTTGCTAAAATATACTACATTGTATGTCCCTTATGTATTTTAATAAAAGAGCCAATGATATTCGGAGACATTTAAATTCTGACACTCCATTTGTACTAATGCCACTTAATGTACAGTGATAGTTAGCCAAAAATGTCAGCAAATACATTTAAACTTTAAGCTTCTGAGTATTAATCTTCCGCTTAACCATGTAGCCTTAATGTCATCAGTTGCATTTCCGAAAACTGCATCTATTGTCTTCATCTCCGTAGTGGCTTTTGTCATTTTAATAAAATATTTATTATAGGCTTATATTTGTCCTTTTGTAATATTGTTTTAAATGTTGTGTTTTCTCTCTGGGAAGGGAAATAAAAAATTATTTGGATTCTTGTCTTTGTGTGTGTTTAATATATAATTTAAAGCACAAATGTTTTGTTTACACAGGCATGATTGGATGATATGAAATTATCACCTCACTTTCTCTTAAGCTACACTTGTTATGTGCTGGTGATAAAATAAGCTTCCTTTTTTAAAGAATAAGAGCAGCTGTTCTCTACGATCATTGAGGCACTTCTCATAAGAAGCATTTGAGGTGATAAATCTGTCTCTGGACTGTACTTTAGACAGGTGAGAGCAAACATGATATTTCCCACTAATAAAGGAGTTCCCTGAGCACTCCTGCAAATCTTTTCGATGTACAAATCTGTACATGGAAAACTGAATGTCTAGGGGGAAAGGTTCTAGCCTAGCTATCTCCCTGACCAAAATTCAGCCATGAGTTCTCATGCAGTTTCATGGGAATTGATTTACTTCTTCATAGGCTGTTTGGGAGAATAAGCATGAGAGAGATCAGAAACAGGTTTAAACAATTTTGCATTTGGAGAAACGTAGATTATTTTTCAGGAAACAGAACTAAAGAATTTGTGTGAATATACCGTATTTTTCGCTCTATTGGACGCACCGGACCACAGGACGCACCTAGTTTTTAGAGGGGGAAATCAAGGGAAAAAATATTATCTCCCCCCCCCAGCCCCAAAGAGCAACGGACAGGCTGCATGCAGCCTGTCCACTTCTCCCAGAGCTTCTCGGGGCTGCGGGGGAAGCCCGGGTTCCCCCCCCCCAGCCCCAAAGAGCAAAGAAGCCAAGACAGCGCGCGGGGTCCATAGCCGCGCAACCTCTCCAGCCAGGAGCTAAACCTCTCCAGTGCAGCTAAAGAAGAAGACAAGGCAGCAAGCGCGATCCATCCCGCTCGCTGCCTTGGCTTCTTCTTTAGCCTTGCGCCGCATCTTTAGTCTTGTGCAATGGGATGGATTGCGCCTGCTGTCCACCGGGGCTGGACTAGATGACTCCTGGGGTTCCCTTCCAACCCTGCAATTCTATGACCTCAGAAGGTGTTTGGGGTCTCCACCACTGGAGGCTTTTAAGCAGCGGTTGGGGGACCATCTGCCTGGCATTCTTTAGCTGTGATTCCTACATTGTGAGGGGGCTGGGCTAGATGACCCTCGGGTGGCCCTCCCAACTCTACAGTCCTACAGTTCTGCGGCAGGAGATCCACAGCCACTTCACACAATGCCCACTCCCAATTTTCATCTGAGAGACATGTGGCTTCAGTGTCTAGGTAGGTACCCCCCTACCTGCCACACTTCCCCACCCCACTTAAGCTGGGGAAATTCCTGCCAAGAGAAGCTCCCAGCAATCACGGAGGAGGAATCCACTGCAGCTGTGATCAGCGGAGGATGTATGGTCCCCTTTCTTCCCTCCTCCGTAGTTGCTTTGAAGCAGGAAAGTGGGGGAGGAGCTGCTTACACGAGTGTAAGCTGCTCCCCTCCCACTTTCCTGCTTCAAAGCAATCACGGAGGGGGGGAATCTGCTGAAGCCTCCAGCAGCGGAGGATCCATGGTCCCCTTTCTTCCCTCCTCCGTAGTTGCTTTGAAGGAAGAAAGTGGGAGAGGAGGTGCTTACACGAGTGTAAGCTGCTCCCCTCCCACTTTCCTGCTTCAAAGCAATCACGGAGGGGGGGAATCTGCTGAAGCCTCCAGCAGCGGAGGATCCATGGTCCCCTTCCTTCCCTCCTCCGTAGTTGCTTTGAAGGAGGAAAGTGGGAGAGGAGCTGCTTACACGAGTGTAAGCTGCTCCCCTCCCACATTGCCGCTTCAAAGCAATCACGGAGGGGGGAATCTGCTGAAGCCTCCAGCAGAGGAGGATCCATGGTCCTCTTCCTTCCCTTCTCCGTAGTTGCTTTGAAGGAGGAAAGTGGGAGAGGAGCTGCTTACACGAGTGTAAGCTGCTCCCCTCCCACATTGCCGCCTCAAAGGAAGCACGGAGGGGGGAATCTGCTGCAGCTTCCCCCACCTCCCGCAGAAGCCGCATGCTCTTTAAAGGGGCGGTGCGGCTTCTCCTGGCTTTTCTGGGAGGTGGGGGGATTCCCCCACCTCGTAGAAAAGCCTGCAGGAGCCGCACAGCCTTTAAAGAGGGCGCTGCTCTTGGGGGCTTTTCCCCCAGGAGGGAGAAGGGACTGCTGCAGCCAGTCAGTCCCTTCTCCCTCCTGGAGAAAAGCCCGCAAGAGCGCACGAAGCTTGTATGCGGCTCTTGAGGGCTTTTCCCGCCTGCCTCCCCCCTGCATTCGCTCCATAGGACACACACACATTTTCCCTTGCTTTTTAGGAGGGAAAAAGTGCGTCCTATGGTGCGAAAAATACGGTATATTTCTGGAGGAGAATAAAAAGAGGCCAGCACACTGCAATCATAACTTGATTTTAAAGTAAATATTTATTTCATTCAAAAGTCACAAAATTTGCAGTCGAGCAGAGCTTTTTAAAAGTTGCTTTCTCAGTTTGAATTCCAGTAATGAGTAGAGGGGTTCACAAGTGAAAAATAATTTATGAGTGAAATATATTTATAGTGCATCAGTACAGGTCCTGTGCTTTTAAGTCTCGTGACTAGGACAGGGGTGCCAACTTGAATTAAATATCTGGTTGGGGGGATAGCCTCACATATTATATTGGGGAGATCGAAGGGACCTCAGCCCATAATGAGTTGGCTCCTATGGACAACGACTTGGAAGACTAGGATTCAAATCCTCACTTGGCCATGCAGCTCACTGGATGCCCTTGGGCCAGTCACTGTCTGCCTAACGTACCTCACAGGGTTTGAGGGAGGATAAAATTGGGAGGACCATGCATGTCACCTTAAGCTCCTTGGAGGAAATGTGGAATATGACTATAATAAATAAAAGTGTTGTGCATACATCGCGTATCCACCACCAAAATCAGTAAGACTTGAAAATGGTGAACCTTGACTGGATCATGGCTGTAGGGGCTGCGAGGAAATGCTTAAGCTTCTAGGAAGTACTTTTAAGCTAACTGCTGTTCCTTAGGACTAGAATATTTTGGGGTTTTTTCAAAAAAAAAATATTAGTTTTCCAAATTTATAACAAACATATCCACAAACATAAACATAAAACATCAAAAAACAAACAAACATATATCCTGACTGTAGAAATTCCACTTTTGTTATCATTGTTAAGTGACTTTCTCGAATCCCCCTGGCTGAATTTCCATATAAATCATTGTAGCAGTTTTCCAAAACTGATTTCACATAAAATTTACTTAGTCCATTAACATCTTTCTTTCTTTTCATTTTAACTTTTATCCCTTATATTCTACAACATCACATATTTAAATCCTAGGCCAATCTGATACTCGCAAGTAATTCTATTTAAGTTATCTTAACACATTTAACTAAATAGTCTTTGAATTTCTTTCATTCCTCTTGATATTCCTCCTCCTGGTCGCAGACTCTTCCGGTCAGGCTGGCTAGCTCCGAAAAGTCCATCATCTTTATAGGATTAGAATATTTTGTGCAGCCAATGGCCAAGATGAGTCTCTGTTCTAAATTTGAGGAGGAAAACAACTGGCATGTGCTGGGCAATTCCCTCCCCACCACCACATTACCAATAATGAATAAAGCAACTATGTAAAATTGGATTTCTTTTCTGTAAAGAATATATTAGATCTATATTGTTGAATGGGGGAAATTTATAACCTATCTTGAAAACCACTGTAAACAGTTAAAACTGTTAGTAGGATTGGAATATCACTTAATGGTGAATTTTGGGCTCAATGGAGTTGTAGAAGATTTGGATTATCATATAAGATGCAGGAGGAAATGATTAACAATAGGACCCACAAAGGGGAGGAGGGAAGTCCAGGAGATTCCTTGGAATCTTGTTTTTCTGTTATATGTTCGATATGTGACTAAATTTTTAATTTGAAAAACCAAATAAATTTGTAATAATAAAGATCTATATTATTGATGCTCATTTTATTTCCTTATCTATTTGCTAGTGCTACCAACTTACTTTCCTGCTCTTTCAATGCCCCCACCCATTCAAATGCCAGATTTGACAGTTTTCATCCGAATTTGGTTTATCAGAACTCTTAAATGCTGAAGGAAACTTCATTGCTTTTTAATGCTCGAATACAACTGCAGATGAATTACATATTTTCCCCAAATGCTCTCCTAATGATCCCCAAGCACTCTACACCCTTTGGCACTAGCTAGAAGCATCTGTCCTCAGGGCATGTGTCAGTTAAGATGCAGCTCTACTTGATGGTTAGAAGGGTGAGAGCTTTTTCGACAAGTGACTGTAAATAGCTGGAGCCAGGCTGATCTCTTCTCTATCAGAACTTGACAATTACATAGGAGAAGCTGCCTTCTACTGATTCAGGCCATCAGTCCATCTGTCAAGAAAGAGGAGAAAATATGGAGGAGGGAAATGGGGTTACCTGGAAGGGGGAAATGGTTTTTTGGGAGATGTTAATTGAAGGAGAATTAATTTGCAGCGAGCAACCAAGAGTAGCACCGAAGAAGGGAAGGAGTACTGTTTCAATCAATTTTTAAAATTTATTTCGTGGTGACCCATGTAAAAGAACATGTGTAGGGATGCCTGTACCTGATAAGCATGGAGTAAAGAGAGTAAGTGGGGAATGTTTTTCTCCTTTTCTCTACAAATGAAGCCATATGGCAGGAGATTTAGGGCAGACTAAGGCACGTACTAATTCACACAGTGAAAGTTAAGGCTGTGAAATTTTCTTCTAAAAGATGTAGCAATGGCTGCCAATTCTGGTGGCTTTGAAAGTTAGAAGGTTAGAAGAAGAATATTTGCATCAGCCACTAGCCATAGAAATAAAATAAAATGTACTGAAGATAGAGGTAAAAACTTAACTATACAAAATACATACTCTAGGCATCAATATTCAAATAATCTTATTCTAATTGCTCCTATTTTTTTAGCAGTTTTTGCTGCCACCTGATTATCTTGATCTGTTAGAATAAAGAACACAGTAGAAATGGTTGAGCGACCTGGTATGGATAGTAGTAGAG